TCTCTCTCTCTCTCTCTCTCTCTCTGGAAGCCCCACTCTAAGGGAGTTTGCAGTGTATTAGTGAGTCATATATTGTACAACCACAGTCATAAAGTTTTCAATCAGTAGTTTTATTTCAGTATGTATTTTTCCAGTATCACAAAAAATGTAATTTTATATGGTTAAAACCATCTAGCTTATGTGCACTTTTTAAAACACTGCCCAGCAAACATTCGGACGTTTAATGACAGTTGAACGGTCACAACTGTAAAATACCTGAAATTAAGAAAAATTAACATGACATCTACTGCCTTTTCCTTGCCCGGCCTCGAACCTGGATCCTCCGGGGCGAGAGTCACCCGCTCTTCCAACTGAGCTATGCCAGCGACTACTTGACTAGCAGACTTTTTTATATAGATAGGTAGAGGGTAAAGTGCGGGGTACACTAACCAATCAGAGGACAGAGAAGATCTGCCACAGGCCACGCCTCCAGAGTGCCAAAACCCTTACAGCCGAGCGAGCAGGAGTCAGAAACCGAGCGCGCAGAGAGGCTGCCGAGCGCGCACAGAGGCTGCCGCGCGCGCACGTTTTCCTCTGCCGTGTGCTCGTTGACAACGCGCGCACGCAGGTTTGTCACTTGTGCACATCCTTGTGCGCTCACAGACACAGTTTGCTCCCTCTCAGTGCACAAATGACCTCTCGCCATGTATATTTCCGCTCGCGAGTCCCGTTCACACGCGCGCTGTGGACCCAATGCGCGTGCACGGGTTGTGGCACGCTTTAAACGCCATACATATGTCACCTCAGTGTGGATAGGGGGAGGAGCATTGAGTGTTGGAGGGTTGCAGTGACCCTGGAACGTTTCAGCAGCCTTCCCACAGTCCCACCCAGGCTGGGAAAGGAGACAATTGAGTTGCCTTAGCGACGGCACATTCCACATATCTTCTGAGGGGGAGTTTTCGTTGGGGCCTTGCAGGCTCAAGGACGCCAGATTCCGATTAGAAATTGTTTTGGGGCCAGACAGAGATAATTTCCTCTCAGTCTTACAGTTTGTTGGTCCTCAACCTCTCAGAATCCCAATAATGGACATTAATCTATCCCAATCCGTGCCGATTCGTCCACTCTCTCCTTGATGGCATCCATCTTTTGTGCCCTTCGTGTGCTGAGGACGTTGTGTGAGCTAATTGAGCTCTGTGAAGCTGACCCCCATCAGCTTCAAAAGTGCAGGCAAATAGGCTGCTCGGTTAGTGCTTAGTTTGTGCAGGTAAAATTGACGTTTGTGCTGCTATGGTTTCTGAGATATTAAACTTTATTTAATAGGTCATTCAGAGGTCACGTCCCCCCAGACTGCTCCAAAATGGACCATATTAGTCTACTTATTTAGTGTTTTGTTTGTGCTGATTTTTGCAGGTAAAACTGACGTTTGTTCCTCCTTGAACCGTCACCTTATTGTGGTGGAGGAGTTTGAGTGCCCTAATGATCCTAGGAGCTATGTTGTCTGGGGCACTTAGTGCCCCTGGTAGGGTCTCCCATGACAAATTGGTCTTAGGTGAAGGGTGAGACAAAGAACGGTTCGAAGGATCTTTCATGGCGGTTAAAACGAAGAGTCGGAGTACCCGGCCCGGAGGGTTACCGGGGTCCCACCCTGGAGTCAGGCCTGGGGTTGGGGCCCGTGAGCGAGCGCCTGGTGGCCGGGCTTTCGCCCGGCCGGGCCCAGCCCGAACCGGATACATGGGCTCGTCCAACTGTGGACCCACCACCCGCAGGAGGAACATGAAGGGTCCGGTGCAATGTGAATCGGGTGGCAGACCAAGGCGGGAGCCTTGGCGGTCCAATCCCCGGACAAGAAAACTAGTTTTTGGGACATGGAACGTCACCTCGCTGGCGGGGAAGGAGCCGGAGCTTGTGGCAGAGGTTGAGCGGTACCGGCTAGATATAGTCGGACTCACCTCGACACATTGCATTGGCTCTGGAACCCGAGACCTGGAGAGGGGTTGGACACTCTACTTTGCTGGAGTTGCTCCGGGTGAGAGGCGGAGGGCTGGGGTTGGCTTTTTGTTAGCCCCGAGACTCTCTGCCTGTGTGTTGGGGTTTACCCCGGGGGACAAGAGGGTAGCTTCCTTGCGCCTTCGGGTCGGGGAACGGGTCCTGACTGTTGTTTGTGCTTATGGGCCAAATATCAGTTCAGAGTACCCACCCTTTTTGGAGTCCCTGGGACGAGTGCTAGATAGTGCTCCATCAGGGGACTCCATTGTCCTGCTGGGGGACTTCAATGCTCACGTGGGCAATGACAGCTTGACCTGGAGGGGTATGATTGGGAAGAACGGCCCACCTGATCAGAACTCGAGCGGTGTTTTGTTATTGGACTTCTGTGCAAGCCGCAGTTTGGCCATAACGAACACCATGTTCGAACATAAGGATGCCCACCGGTACACTTGGTACCAGGGCAGCCTAGGTCACAGGTCGATGATAGATTTTGTAGTCGTATCATCTGACCTGCGGCCGTATGTTTTGGACACCCGAGTGAAGAGAGGGGCGGAGCTGTCAACTGATCACCACCTGGTGGTGAGTTGGATCAGATGGCAAGGGAACATGCCGCGTAGACCTGGCAGACCCAAACGCATAGTGAGGGTCTGCTGGGAACGCCTGGCAGAAGAACCTGTCAAGACGGTCTTCAACTCCCACCTCCGGCAGAGCTTTGACCACGTCCCGAGAGCAGTGGGAGACATTGAGTCCGAGTGGGCCTTGTTCCACTCTGCGATTGTCGAGGCGGCTGTTGCTAGCTGTGGTCGTAAGGTGGCCGGTGCCAGTCGTGGTGGCAACCCCCGTACCCGCTGGTGGACACCAGAGGTTCGGGGAGCCGTCAGGCTGAAGAAGGAGGCCTACAGGGCGTGGCTGGTCTGTGGGTCTCCGGAGGCAGCCGACAGGTACCGGATAGCCAAGCGGGGTGCAGCAGTGGCAGTTGCCGAGGCAAAATCTCGGGCGTGGGAGGAGTTTGGTGAGGCCATGGAGAAAGACTATCGATCGGCTCCAAAGAGGTTCTGGCAAACTGTCCGGCGCCTCAGGAGAGGAAGGCAGCAACTCGCTCACACTGTTTACAGTGGGGATGGGGAGCTGCTGACGTCAACTGAGGCTATAGTCGGACGGTGGAAGGAATACTTTGAGGAGCTCCTCAATCCCACCAATGCGCATTCCGAGGAGGAACCAGAGCTGGGAGGCCTGGGGATGGACTGTCCGATCTCGGGGGCAGAAGTTGCTGAGGTAGTCAAACAACTACACAGCGGCGGAGCCCCGGGGGCGGATGAGGTTCGTCCTGGGTATCTCAAGGCTATGGATGTTGGAGGGCTGTCATGGTTGACACGTCTCTACAACATTGCGTGGTCATCGGGGGCAGTTCCTAGGGAGTGGCAGACCGGGGTGGTGGTCCCCATCTTTAAGAAGGGTGACCTGAGGGTGTGTTCCAACTATAGGGGGATCACACTCCTCAGCCTCCCTGGAAAGGTCTACTCCAAGGTACTGGAGAGGAGGGTCCGATCGATAGTTGAATCTCAGATAGAGGAGGAGCAATGTGGTTTTCGTCCTGGCCGTGGAACTGTGGACCAGCTCTATACCCTTGCAAGGGTGATGGAGGGGGCATGGGAGTTTGCCCAACCAATCCACATGTGCTTTGTGGATTTGGAGAAGGCTTATGACCGTGTCCCCAGGGGCGCCCTGTGGGGGACGCTCCAGGAGTATGGGGTGGGTGGCTTTCTGTTAAGGGCCATTCAGTCCCTTTACCAGAGGAGCGTGAGTTTGGTCCGCATAGCCGGTAGTAAGTCGGACCTTTTCCCAGTGAGGGTTGGACTCCGCCAGGGCTGCCCTTTGTCACCGGTTCTGTTCATCACTTTTATGGACAGAATTTCTAGACGCAGCCGTGGTGTGGAGTGTGTCGAGTTTGGTGGCAGGAGAATCTCGTCTCTGCTTTTTGCGGATGATGTGGTCCTCCTAGCTTCATCCAGCTCTGACCTTCAGCTCTTGCTGGGTAGGTTCGCGGCCGAATGTGAAGCGGCTGGGATGAGGATCAGCACCTCCAAATCTGAGACCATGGTTCTCGACCGGAAAAGGGTGGCTTGCCACCTCCGGGTCGGGGGAGAGGTCCTACCTCAAGTGGAGGAGTTTAAGTATCTCGGGGTCTTGTTCACGAGTGAGGGTAGGAGGGATCGGGAGATCGACAGGCGGATTGGTTCGGCGTCTGCAGTGATGCGGACGCTGAGCCGATCTGTCGTGGGGAAGAGGGAGCTGAGCCAGAAAGCCAGGCTCTCGATTTACCGGTCGATGTACGTCCCAATCCTCACCTATGGTCATGAGCTTTGGGTAATGACCGAAAGAACGAGATCGCGGATACAAGCGGCCGAAATGAGTTTCCTCCGTAGGGTGGCCAGGCTCAGCCTTAGAGATAGGGTGAGGAGCTCGGACATTCGGGAGGGACTCGGAGTAGAACCGCTGCTCCTCCGGATCGAAAGGAGCCAGTTGAGGTGGTTTGGGCATCTGGTCAGGATGCCTCCTGGACGCCTCCCCGGGGAGGTGTTTCGGGCATGTCCTGCCGGCAGAAGGCCCCCGGGTCGACCCAGGACACGTTGGAGAGGTTACATCTCCAATCTGGTCCAGGAACGCCTTGGGGTCCTGCCGGAGGAGCTGGTGGACAAGGCCGGGGAGAGGACGGCCTGGAGCTCCCTAGTTGGGATGCTGCCCCCGCGACCCGGACCCGGATAAGCGGAGGAAGACAAGACGAGACGAGAGACGAGAAAACTGACGTTTGTGCTGCAACGGTTTCTGAGATATTACAAGTTTTATTTTTGCATGATGGCATCATCAAATTCCCAAACTGCTCCAAAATGGACCATATTAGCGCCCCCCCCACCCCCACCCCCCCCTACATGGACAAGCGGGTTCAGACAATGGATGGATGGACGATGACCCTCATGTTCACTGTAAGAGCTGGAGATGTGTACAAAAAGCCCCATGTAAATAAGTCCACACTCTTACAATTAATACAACTTTATTAACAGTTTACAACAAACACCATAAATAACAAATTTGTAGCTTTATAAGATAAATCAATACATTTGAATCTACCTACTGGTTAGATCTCTGTCATATTAGATCTCCGTCAAAGCTGCTTTGGCCATTTTTTATTACTGGCTAGCTTGCATTAACTGTTAAGAGCAGGAAAGACCCTTCAAAATAAAAGCATTTCATTCAAACAGGAAGTTGATTAAAACAGATTATAAATAAAGGCAAGTTGTGCCAAATTAAAATACAAGCAAATGAAGTCATTTTAGGGTTAGTTATAACACCTATTGCCCATTTTAATTATGCCTGTCAATCAACTATGGATTCTAATCAGGTGTGTTGAGCAGAGAAACATCTAAATCATGCAGATAGTGGACCTCCAGGACTGGAGCTGAACACATGCTTAAAAATTATACAACTATTGCAGCTTTTCAAAGAATCTGCTACGACTGACGTTTGGTCTGTTTATGGAGAAACAATTAGCTTGTTGATGCAAAAACTAAAACAGTTTATTATTAAAATATCTTCTTGAATTCAGCTAAAAATGAGCACAAATAAAATGGTGAGGTTATTTTTTTTTTAACATTTATAAGGCACTTGTGTTTTAACCTGCTTGACTCCCCCAGCTGGACGTATAGGTTATAAATAGTAAGTCGCTTTGGATAAAAGCGACTCCTAAATGAATAAACATTCCCATCTGTACAGGGTCGGCCCAGGCCGGGTAGCCCCAGTCGGCCCCAGCCTGGCCCGGTTGATTCCACACATTCTTGTCTTAAGCCCATGTGGGCTGATTCTACCCACCAATCAGAGGCTTGCTCTAATGGAAGGTGTGAATTTGCTGTCAGCAGTGGGTGTGTTGGCCCTGGTCGGCCTGAAGCAGACCCCCTCGAGAAGAGGGCTGAGAATGAGCCTTGGTTGGCCCGGAAAAAATACCAGGCCACCCAGATATGTAAACAACCTACGCTACCCGGCCCGGGCCGACCCGGTACAGATGGGAATGGCCCATTATTAGAGAATGCCTTGCTGGCTTTCTAGGTACTAAAGGTCTGGGTTGGTCTTCCGTTTGAACATCTGCAGAATTTACCAAATTATCTCATTTCAATAGCAGTGAGTCGACTGTTCTGTCCAATCACCAAACATTGTCAGACAGACATACGCTGTCAGATCATCATACATTTTGTTTTTAACAACCGTAAAACTGACTGGCTTGTCAAATTTCTACATTTTACAGCTTAATATTCTTATTTTTTTTTAGAATTAGAAGGCCGTAAAATAAAATGTGTGATTCACATTCATCAGTTGGTTTTTGTGGATGTTAAAACATTATGAACACAAATGTTTTCCTCATACGTTGGTGTCTGTATGCTGAACTGACGGCTCCTCAGAACGTAGCGGAGGTTTAGATGAATGTGCCTAAACTTCATGTATGCTGCTCTGACATGTATGGTGTTCTGTCAGAACACTGACTCTATTGCTCTTCTGCCTTCTTCAGAACCCACACCTCATTCTTGCGGTTGATCAGCTTAAAGGGGGCGTCGTACCCAGCTGTGTAGTACGGCGCATCGACAAACTCAGCACCATCCCTCTTCAGACTCTCCAGGAGCTTCAGCAGCTCCTCTCGCTTCATTTCATCATTGGCGAAACCTCCGTATGTCCTGGAAGAAGGGGCGGAGATGGAGGAAGTTTGAGTTTCAGGGAGTTACATATTTTATTCTATTGAGGATAAATTATATTACCGGACATATGCGGTGAACTCCTTCCTGTCCTCCATGAACACATTTGTGTCACTCGGTTCAGGCGGATTGGACTGCAGTTCATCTGGGATGTAGAAAGAAATGGTGAACTGGGACTCGCAGGCGGGGCCGGCTCCAGGAACCACACGACACGTCACGGGCGCGGTCATTTCCACGCTGGCTTCTAAAAACCCAGCAACAAGCAAAAACAATCACATGAGACAGGTGAGAGGATGCATGCGACCAGCTGGTGTCTGATCAGATTTCCTAAACAAGTGATCAGTTTGCAGCCGCTTCATCCAAACTTTGGTGCATAATGACACCTGAGCAGATGGCGTACAGAGGGAAGGGATTAAACGCCATGTTTTTAGAGGGCGCTCTCTTTCAGCTGCAGAGCTCAGTAGTCAACAGCACAGACAATAAAAACTATCATCAATAACGCTGCAGAAAAGTGCCGAGTAAGCGCAGCGGCACTGTCCCAAAGTGCTGAGCAGAAAGTAAAGTGACTTTTCTCCTGCATTTATTCATCACGTCCTCAGCCTAAAGCTGAACTTCCATCTGAAACTTTTTCCACTTCATGGGAGTTTGTAAAGTTCAAAGCAACTCTGAAAGCACAAAGGTTGAGTCGATTTTTCTTCTTCTATGAAATGATGAGAAGGTTTAAGATGCCACTGAAACTCAACTGTTTTGATTGTTGCCTTGGATGTAGCTGAAAAGTCTGCGGAAGCCGGTCTTCGTGGCTTCGTCACCCTGCATCCCGTTCACGGAGGTGCTCACCCACTTTGCAGCATGGTAGGTTCGGATCTCGTAGTCTTGTCCCTGTTACATGCACAATTTTTACAACTTCTTGGATCATTTTTACATTTAAAAATGTTTCAAAATTTTGAAATTTAGCTGAGAAAATGTCCAAGAACTACAAAATGCAATTTTATTTATGTAATTGATGAAGATTTTGTTCTTTTTTCCCCCACACTGCAGCTGTTTTAACTACATTACAAATTATGTCGTTTTCAGGTATTTTATTTGAAAAATTATTTAGAATGAATAAAATCTGCATTTTCCCGCTAAGGATCAGGAAAAACCAACACAAAAGGCTCCAGTGCAAAGGGCGTGTTTGTATAACCAACAACCACAACATAGAAAACCTTCAAATATACTAAATAAATAATTAAATTATATATAAATGAACATTTGAAGTTGTTATCTGAGAAGTTCAGGCACTAAAAAGGGGATAATTCTAAGTTATACTTTAAAAAAGTAGTTAAAAATAAAAAGAGAAAACGAGCAGGATAATTTAACTGCGGAGCTGTAACTTCACGTGTCTCATCACATGTAGGAAAAGAGAGCATCATCAGACAAAAGTCTGAAGTTCTTATTTTTTACGAGTTGGCTAGAAAACATTTACCTTCGGCTCCTCTGATGTGAATTTAGGATTCTTCAGTCCGGTCGAAAACAAAGCTTGACCCACCGCTTTTAACATGACTGACGAGCAGCGTGTTGGACAGTTTCCACCAGCAGAAAACTATAACTTCCAAAAACCTGCAAACATATTTTTAAGTCTGCTCATGAACGCGCACTGAGTTGACTGATATAAACACAACTTATATTTTCCTTTAAAGCTACAATTCGAACACTTTTGAAGGTTTTACTTAAAAATTGATAAAATTTTGCATTTGAAACAATAATGATTAAAAAAATTAACGAATTACCTCCCGACGAGCGCGTCTAGTCCTCCGTAAAAGGCGTTTCTCGTTTAAACGTTTTCGTAACATCACTTGTTACATCACTTGTTTCCGCATACAAACCTGATTGGTTGAATTGTGGATTTTCACAATAAGAGTCTCGATTGTCAAAAACGTACCGACAAAGTTACAAAATTAAAAGATAAAATTCGGACATTTAAACGTTTGGTTTGTTTTGATGCATGGACGTTTCCCTCATCTACACCTTAAATTTAAATATACTTGGCAAACATAATTTTAAAAAGGCTTTTTAAAAGTGACAAATGTCTTAATTTGTGTAATGTGCTCTTCTTTACCAGAAAATTAAGGTGTACATCTAGATTGAGTCCACCAGAGGGCACTATTTGAACTCATTGTTTCTGGAAACAGTAGTAGTATCTTAGCCTAGTGAACTAGACCAAATTCTTGCGTTGCAAAGTTAAATATTAAATAGCATATTTAGTTAGTCTGGTTTACCAAGCCAGTTGCATTTGGCGTTCATGAGTAAGGATTTTCCTCCCTCTAGCGGAAGGAAGCTGTTACTACAGCTTTATAAAGCTAAACGACATCTTGTAGATTCCTTCAAAATAAAACATGTCACTTAAAATCCCCACGAGAATCTAATCACTAAGATATTATCAAAAAATACAATTTAGTTACAAATTTTAACCAGCATACATTTTTCTTTTCATATAAAATATGTTAGATGTAAAACTATTAGTTATTCGTTCAAATACCAATAAATACATCTAATAAACACAGGCATTCTTAATTTTTTTTATTTTATTAACTTGTAGTCGGTTGTTTGATTTGATTTATACACATACCCTTGTCTATATAACATTTATAAGTGTTATTTAAGTCAACTGGATGGAAAATCAATCATTTAGTTTCGAGAAGAGTATGGCTGTATGATTGTTGGCATCTGAATTTTGAGAGTAGATTTTTCCACCCTGTAACGGATGCAAGCTGTTCCTACAGCTTCATAAAACTAAGAGAATTCTCATTTGGGTTTCCTGCAGATTCCTTGAAAATAAAATATAGCAATTAGACTTTACTGACTTTTAAATTAGCGCTAACAGCATACCTTAGTCATATCTAGTTATAATAGTTTGATGTCTACCCTTGTGTTGATTTGATTTCTTGATTTATCATTGCTTTTCTTTAAATGTTATGCATCTTAGTTATCAGAATTTGATTATCTCTGTGGGAGTTAAGGATAGGCTAATTATAAGCCACTAGGCTTCAACCTATTCTTTTTCGGTTGCTTGATTACTTTTCTGTAAAATTGATAAATTGTTGTTGTTGACCGAATAAAAATATCTATCTATAATGTATGAATATCATATACAATACAGAAACATTAGATATTATTGTTTTCCAGTTTCACTTGTATGTTAGATAAGCCGTATATAAATACTTAGTGTTGTAACTCTGAATGTAATATTTAAAAATATTTTCTGTTAACTATTGGCCACCTGTATAGCTTCCTAATATATAATGGGACAACTGTTCTGCTGTAAAAATAAATTAAAATGTAAGTATGTGAAAATAATTCTTTTTTCCCAATATTTTTCCTACATTTTGCTCATAATTAATAAACATTGTGGGTTTTTCACACAGCAAACTGCAATTATATCATCCATTTTGCCTCTGGAAAATTCAATCTTCCTTTATATCCCTCTTATAAATTTATTCTACTCATCAGAGCACATCGGGACTTTGGCATCATACTAATTAACTTTCTCTGCCCCCTCAGTACCCGGATTGTTTAAAGCATATCATTTGAACAGCATCTCCTTTATTTAAAATGTCCGTATTTACATTTAATGATTCTAGAAGTCAGGTAACATGGATAAAACAGGTAATTTGCAGCATTTAAAACAACCGTCAAGGCATAAGAGGCACAATCACCAAAGAAAAAATAAAACCTAACTTTTTAAAGTTTCACATCTGACACACGGTTCATTCCAGATAGTCTGAACAGGCAGAGAGCTGCTGCATCAGGACTGATGTGATGAAATGTTTAACAGAGAGGCTGATCAAAAGGGCCTGACTGTACAGTAACCAGGACGCTGATGTGTTGTTTAAACGTGACCTGTGCAAACACACAACGTAGCGTGTAATGAAAAAGGAACTGGTGTGAAATGACTCGTCTACGGGGACATGCGAGGGACAGCAGCGACTGTCGGCTAATAACTCTTTCCACAATGCTCACAGATTGGTTTATTATTTAACATTAAACCAAACAACATAAAATGTTATAATGTGAAGTCTTTCAGTTGCAAAAGCCGATCAGGAAACAGCAACGTCAGCCTCGTCACATGCTGCAGCAGAACGTCCCTCAGTGCTGGTAGTGCTGGTGGATGAAGGATAAAAAGTCTTCTTTGGACAGTTTCTCAGGGTCCATCCGGGTCTGAGAATCGTGAACTATGACCCCTTCCACCCAGGCCCAGAAGAACCGCTCAGAATGGCATACGCTAAAGAAGAACAACATAAACCATGTTTATTTAAGAGATGCTGACTGATATTTTAGAGCTACATTATTTACAACTGTGTGTGTGTGTGTGTGTGGTTACATACTGGAAGGGAGCAGCAGCGTCTGGCGGCATGTCATAAGTTGATTTCTGGGTTAGCTTATTAAAGAAGTACTTCTTGTTGGAGTTTTTGCTGTATGCCATTGTCCAAGGCTCTAAAGGGTAAACAATGTCAACAGAAACACTTTTCTTTATAATTTGAGTCCAAACAGGCAGAATTTCATGTAAACATTTAAAGTTTTCTTAACCTACATATCATTCAGCCTAACACAAGGGATGAGCTTGCACCGCATCGACCTGTAACCTAGCAACAAAAGCTCCAGGCCGGCTTATTTTTTTCTGTTTCTGTAAGACACGTCTTACGTTTTAAATAACTGAAAGGAAGACGAAAGAAAACAAAGATCGAGACCATTTTAAAAGAATACTTGGCCCCCTTCAAAGGCAAATATAAACAAATCAGGAGTTTTAGATTAAAGCAGACGCTAAACAGATGGCTGAAGTTAAGAATGAACCGTAAACAAACCATTGAAGGTCTTAATGATGTAGAGGCCGGAGGGGAGGAAGTGTCTGTCGTCTCTGCCTGTGTAGGACAGACGAGGGACGCCTCCAGAACTCTTTGTTATCTTCATCTCTAGTCTGGACGACAAAGGACGACGGTTAAAATAATCAGTTGTCATGAAAAACAAATTATTTGAATAAAAACTGATTCCTAAATGTGTTACATCTAAAGAGAGCAGCGGTCAAACCTGACGAAGATTTTCTCCATTTCCTCCAGCCTGTAAACTTCCTTCACTCTGTGGAAATACATTTTTAAGAGCTTAAATCATTCACATCATAGTATTTAATCACTTTGGATTAGCTACATTCATTTGATCATTAGAAAATTCTAATTAAAATCTAATTTGCTTGTAATTTAAAACATAAATGGGAACACAAACGATAAATTCAAACCAGTTTGTACCTGATGGGGTTCATGTCGGGTCTGCTGGGCTTGGCCACCGCCTTCACGAACTTCTCAGCCAGCCGGATCCTGGAAAGTAAAGAAATAAATAAATAAAAATCAGAAATCTGCTCCAGATAACTTTGTTGTTCTGGAGTGTTTAATCTCACCGTTGGTTGAAGTGCTGATCTCGTACGTCCGTCCCGTTGAGTATGAGCGCGTCCATCACGTGAACGGCACTGATCCTGCGCTGAGCTTTACCCTGAGAACCAAACGGACCCCGTTACACTCTGACAACAAAAACTCAACGTAAAGAAGTCGTTTGTTAGCCCTCCGCGCTCCACCTCGCCCTTCAGCTCCTGAACGATCTCCACGCTCAGCAGCGTGTCTCTCGGCAGCTCTAGCTTGAAGTTCTCCATCTTCTTCCAGCGAACGGGATTCTTCCCATCCCATGTGTAGATCTGGGACTTCTGCTGGGTCAAACACAACACACACTCATGAGTTTTGAGTTTTTCAATAAAACTTTCTGTTCTGACACGACTGTTTCAAAAGGATGTAGCTTGGAAATGGTTAAAGAGAAAAAACTCCAGTAGGACCCAAAGTTTGTGTTGAGAGCAAATTCACTCATCTAATAAGCAGATTATGACATCACCAGGCGGCCATATTGGAACGCATCATTTTTACAGACGTTCCTCCGAATTTTTTATGTTACTTAGAAAATTTCATCACATTTAGAAAAACATTATTTACATATATACATGTATAAAGCTTTTTAGAAAAATTAATAGCATTTTTTATATTGCATTATTGATATTTATACTGGCCTCACTCAAGAGAAACGGTTTGTAGCCATTTTTTTGGGTTTGCAAAGCTTCAGGGACGTCCTCTTGAATGTAATGATCATTTGATCCACTGATTAGAATAGAATAGAATAGAATATCCTTTATTGTCACTGTACACACTCGTACAACAAAATTTGGAAGCCACTCCCGGGTGCAAGTTGAAAGAGATACATAACACTTAATTAAAATTCAATCAGGACAAATACTTCCCTGTAAGAAATACATAACACTACAATAATTAAAATTCAGTCTGGACAAATCTTCCCTTCATAAACTGTATAAAATTAGAACCATGCAGCTTGTGTGGTTCCATCAGGGCTACACCTGCAAACATTAGATAAAATAAAAACCTGTCCTTTCAAGTTAGCATGTTCTTTTTGTTGTTAACCGCCATGATAGCCCTGGGAAAAAAACTGTCTCTGAAGCGGTTTGTCCTGGTCCTCTGGGATCTGTACCGACGACCCGATGGCAACAGCTGAAACAAGTGGTTCCCAGGATGGAACTTGTCCTTAATGATGTTGGAAGCCCTGCTGAGATAACGGGGGTATGCTAAGTCCTCCAGGCTGGGCAGCGAGCAGCCAATGATCCTCTGGGCTGAATGTGTAACCCTCTGAAGCACTCTCCTGTCTGCAGCAGTGCACCCTGCATACCAAATAGTTATCCCGTATGCTAGGATGCTCTCAATAGTGGCTCTGCAGAATGTCACCAGCAGTCTCTCCTCCAGGTTGTTCCTCCTGAGCACCCTCAGAAAGTGGAGACGCTGCTGAGCCTTTTTTGATACTGCTGTGGTGTTAGCAGACCAGGAGAGGTCATCAGAGACCACGACACCCAGAAACCTCATGGAGTGAACTCTTTCCACACAGTCCCCCTGGATGTAGAGAGGTTCTGGATCAGCTTTGTTCCTTCTGAAATCCAAGATGAGTTCTTTGGTTTTTTTGGTGTTCAAAAGGAGGTTATTTTCTGAACACCAGTTAGTCAGTCTGTTGACTTCATCTCTGTAGTTTGACTCATCCCCTCCAGAGATGAGCCCAACCACGGTGGTGTCGTCCGCAAACTTTATGAAGGTGTTAGAGAGACGGATTGGAACACAGTCCCATGTATAAAGTGTGAAATTATATATAAATTATGTGGCACACTTTGACTTCCGTACGTGACGAACACATCTGCTGCTTTTATTTTTTTTACATTGCTGCTACGTCTGTCACATCAGTGGTGTTTTTAACCATCATTTCAACATCCACCATGTCCCAAACACGGTGAAACAAACTTCAAACCCAACTTTTGGAGCTTGTAAGCTCCATAAACCTTACTCTCGTGCAGCATCAGCTGGTTGTCGCTGCAGAGGCGGCAACAACCAGCTTTTTCTGGCTGGGTGAGTGAATTCCTTCATCAGAGAGTAAGTATCCTGCTTCATAATCAAAGTCGGTCATGACCAGACAAAGAGATCAGTCCACAAAGACCAGACCTGCCGGCAATTGTAAGTTGCATCCCTCTATTCGCACTCTTCGTGCTGCGCTCGTCTCCTGCTCTCGTCCTCTCCCCGAAACTTTCAATATAAACACAGTGTTGCTCAGCCTGAAGTTACACATCTCCACTATGTTCTTGTGTAATGTTATAACTTCATGAGGGATCATATTTGTAGCTGTGGCTCGTTAAAGTCGGTAACGAAGCTCGTAGCAATACTGCGCCTTCCGCGCTTAAAGGGTTAATGAGCAAAAATAAACCCCCCATCTCTTCAAACGTACCCCCAGTGCAAGGAGAAAGATCTGCTCTCCACCTCCCACAATGCACCTGTAGTCAAAGATCTGCCGCAGCTTAACGAGCGAGCTGGAGTTGAGGGGAGTGAGTTTACTCTGGAGCAGCTCCACATCTGGATTCTGAGGCAGGACGGATGAAGACAAGATTTAGAAACAAGTTACGAACGACACCTAAATAGATTCATGTTTCCTTGTTTTTATTATCATCGTTATTAATCATCTGACCTTAATCAGTTCATAGAACTTTGTTCTGGGATCAGAAGGAGGAGGAGCAACTCTGGCCTTATCTGGTACCTGAAAAGGAAATAATCAATAATAATAATAAATAAAAACTATAATGTGAGTAAATTACACAACACGAGTGGCTCTGCTCACCCCCCAAAGCTTCAGACACTCCTTCCTGATGTTGGCTTGCCTCGGCTCTGAAAGCGTCCTGAAGACATCGGCACAAGGCAACGCCGTCACTTTAGACACAAACACCCCCTAAGTAAACCAGGTCCAGGTGTGCTTACTCACGGTTCTACGACAAAAGCGTGGATCTTGGCCAAGGCCTTGATCTGGACGGCACAGAGGCTGCAGGAAAAGGCCGTCTTTGTCAGCGACAAAGTTTCACATGAACTTTTAACGACAGACTCGGAGAAAGCAGCGTTTCTACCTCTCGTTGGAGTTGACCATGAACTGGTAGAAGTCAGGGTCGTCCTTTATGATGTGCAGCGGGACCACTTCTGTAACGTCTCTGTCCGAGTTCCTGACCTGGTTCAGTTTCAGGTTGACTCTGAACATGTACTCCCGGACTGCGTCGGAGCCGGGTTTCAGACCACGACACACGACGTACCTGTCGGACAACAGACCTAGTTTTACGCCGCGAGGCCTGAACCTGAGACCAGCGAGTTGATTTTTGAATTTAGGTAGAAAAATAATTTATTTGAAAATGATTCCCAATGTTTCTGGGTTATAAAACTGAACAAAAGCACGAGTTTTAAATGTTCCGTCTTGAGCCCACCTCTCTGAGTTCGCCGGCCGGCTGGTGACGGGTTTGAAGAGCGAGATCCTGTCGAAGCAGAGGTAGAGCAGGTAGACCAAACCCACGCTGAACGGAGTGAAGAGGTCAAAGGTTTTACACACAAAGTGGCCACCTGGAAGAGAAATAAAGAATCTTCACACACAGAACCCGCACGTCGCTCGTTCAAGAACAAAAGCTCACACACCTGTCCTGATTGTAGAGATGGCAGTGAGGAACTGACAGAGCAGCAGCTGTTTGGAGAGAATCTCCTGGATGTTCTCCTGACCCTCCACAGAGAAACCCTACAAAACCAGATCAGATCAGAATTATCCTCTTCTTGGAAAAGCAGCATCGTCTTCAGGAGTCTTACCCCGTCTGCCATGAGGAAGTGGAGCCCTCTTCTCTCTGTGCTCTCCATGACAAAGTTACGGAACGCAGTCACGTTTTCAGGCCGGGTGATGTCACCGTCTCCATCCACTCCCCCCTCACCTGAGACACACACGAGTCATGCTTAGAATCACTCCTCCCCTGCATTTTCCTCTCCCCTGAAGGTTTTGTTTACTCACCATAATACGGCTCAAACAGCTCACTCGGAGCTGCGTAGAAATCTTCCAGTTTGAAGTCACAAGGTCCTTTCAGCGTCATGCCGAAGCCCTTGGCGTGCCAGCGTCTCTTCCATAAGATGTACTCAGAAAAGCCTCCAGGTCCCGCGCAGACGTCACCAAAGTACAGCAGCTCGTCCTCGCGGTCCTTTGTCAGAGGTGACTGGAAGAGAGAGATGGTTTAATCCTCACTATCTGTTTACATGACTCAGCAACAAGTCGACTCACCCCGTTAGAATCCTTCGGATTGGTGAACATGTTGTCAAAGCAGTGGTCAATGTTGGACATTTTCATCGCTGCCCTGCATTCAGACAGGAAATGAAACAATAATAAACTCTACTTTAGTTGAATCCTCACCGATGGCGGAATAAACCCTGACCTGTTGAGGAAGATGCCTCCTCTAATGGTTTCGTACGGGTTGGAGCGTGTCCGTGCTCTCCTCATCTCCTCGCCATCCAGACTGTCAAACACAGTCTACGAGCGTCAGACCAAATCAAAAGATATAAGCTGATTCGAGTTTTGATAAAACCAAAATTTTCCTTTATTGGAATCATTTATAATTGTTTTCATGCTTGTGATTAACAGACTTCCCGTCTGAACTCACTTTACACCGTAGAAGTGTGTGCAGGAGATCTTCTGTGCAGAACTCCGTCTCATCTTCAATCTTGAGTTTCCTCTGAGCAGAACAAATATTTTATTAGGTATGAAGAGAGAATTTTAAAAGTTGTGTAAAGGTCTGAATAAATGTCCATGTTGGTGCGCCACCTGTCCCACAACCATCCAGTCCCTCAGCTCATCCGCATCAGGAATTTCTGTGGTGCATTCTGGGAACCATTCCACCTTCTCTGTCGCACTAGGCTGCAGAGATTTAAAGGAAATAATAATTCCAACCAGACTTTCAGCTAGAAAACATAAAAAAAGATTATTTGGCCCCACCTCTGGCTCATCTCGCCAATCAACATTGAGCTCTCCTTGAAACCCCTGCAGCGTGAGACCCAGACCCCTCCGACCGCGCTGGGTGGACGCCTCCACAATCTCTTTGCGGCCCTGGCCGAACTTCCCCAGACCCTCGCCCTCTCTGAAGCCCATCTTGGCCTGGAGGTGTAAGATACAACACAAAAACAAGATTTTCAAAATAAAGCTGAACCCCCAGGTTACAGACTTCTAAACAGCTGTGAAACATCTTTGAGTGGTTTGGATTCCTTTACCATGAGCCTCTGTGACACACTGTTGTACATTGTGAACTTTGAGGCCGCCTGAGAGGAGTCATCATCGTCTTGGGCATCAAAGGATGGTGATGAGATGGAGGGCATGGAGAATCCAGGTCTATGATCCTCTTGATCACTGAGGGAGTCATTTTGGCTCGAGTCTGGACAGGACAAAACTACAAAAACTAAAAGTGCACGCATACGAAGCTTTCCGAAGCTATTTTTATTTAGAACAGAGTTTTATGATTTCTCTAGAAAACCTGCCATTACCTTGTCTGGATTGTGACTCTTCATCTGAGCTGCTCTTCTCACGATGCCTCTTAGTCCCCTGCAATGATGCAAGCGGTGCATCAGCTCTTCTCTTCATTGTGTCTGAAAAGGAGCAACGGAGAGCATAAAAACATATGAATTTGATCAGAATGAGTGAAAAAAATTACTCCGAGTTAAAAATTAAGTCAGACTGACACGAAAAGATAATTTCTCCCTGATTGAACAATGGTTCACCGGTGCTGGGTGGGTTTTAATGCAAATCAATCCATGCATTGTGGATGATCTTGTGACACGTCTTAAAGTGAATGCAGGACTAAAGCAAAGAGTGTGACATTCATCAAAGTTGTTTTAGGGCTCTTGGAACATCAGTGTAACGTCTCTCTCTAAGTGTTTCATGCACAGCTGGCTGAGCCCGACTCTGTAAACATGTTTTATTTTCCAGCTGATGGAACAGTAATCATGTGCACATTGAATAACCTGTAGAAAGTCAATGCACTGATTACTTTTTGTTTGAAAAAAGCATTCATGTCACCAACCATCAAGCAGGAGCATTTGTGTACATTTACTTGCAGGTTTTTGACTCGACACATTAAACACATAACTGGACACAAAGTCTGTGACTTCATATGAGAATTGCTTTGTTTTTTATTAACTTATTCATAAATGATTTCTTTTGTGCATTCGTCTCTGTGATGAGTTTAAGTGATTTATTTTTCCTGAAACAAAAAGCAGCCAGGTCACCTGATGCTGCTGAAGTATAAGACATTAAAACAGGTGTTTAAACACAATAACAGATAACATAAAACATGCCCACATGAGTAAACAGTTTGTTTTCTTTTCTTTTTTTTTACAAAAGTAATCTAATAATCTTCCATTTTTGACAAATTCATATTTAGTATATAAAATGAATAAATAAAGACTATTAGGACAAAAATCAGACTGCTTTCAAGAATGTTTGACTCGAGCTGAACAGTTGTTTTCTAACACAAAGAAAAATAAAATAAGGAGTTCTCTGACTGGATGCGTTGTTTTCCAACATGAATTCAGTTCCATCTAAGCAGCACAAGAACACTTGACATAAATCCAAATTCAACAAGCCGACTGGTTATTTTTAACTGCCAGTTCCATTTAGAGCTGTCCCATTACAGTTAAAACCACTAAACTGCTTATTATTGGACCTACATTTTGTAGCTAAACATTAGTGGACTGCACGACTGTGAACTACGGAAATCTGAAGACAAATACAAACTGTTACCTATGGATTATGTTCTAAATATCTTGAAGTCATGTCATTCTCTGAAGTAAATGTTTGCAGAGAACACCAGGAAGTGTAACAAGACTTCACTAACCGGTGTTGTAGGTGTGCTTTGATAAACGAAACTACGAAGCATTAGCTGTTAGCTTGCTACGTTAGCTAGCTATGTTTTTACCAGCTCAAAAGGAAAAAAAAAGCAGCTTTCTTCTGTGGGAAACAACATCGACTGAAGGTCACTGCCACATAACTTTCAAAAATATTTAGTTGGAGCTTTATTTTGAATGGAAATCTGCAGTACATTAACCGTTTCCAAAGTTAGCTCGCGTTCTGTTTTTAGCGCGTCCACGGTCCATCTGCGTCGGTCGGACGACGCGTAGTGATGACGTAACAGGCTAAATAAAGGAAATAATGAAATATTTGTGAATTTTGATACAACATCAACAACAACAACAACAACAATAATAATAATAATAACAATAAAAATAATAAGAATAATAACAATAATACGTTTATATATTTAACATAGACTTTTACATATTTATAATTATTCAAATAAGATATGTGTGTGTGTGTGTGTGTTTGTGTGTGAAATAAATAATAGAATTATAATATATAATATATTTTGAACAATATGAAGAGGTGAGATAAAACACATTTTTTCTGTACTTGATTTAATCTTTTAACACATCCTTCACTGAATAAAGAATGTAAATTTAAAATAAAATCATGGGGAGAAAAAATGAGTTCACCCTTAGTGACTTGATTTGTTTATTTCCTCTCGTTCTGTTTATGACTCAGCTTGAAGTGATGACAAAAGGAAAAAGTGGAGTTTCCCTGTTTACTTGAGCCACTCACCCATGTTGGTTCATCCCCAAGGATGGAGATTAATTTAGAAATCTGACTCAAATGGTAAAATATTGAAGACGGTGTTTGTTTTGCCCTTGTTATGTCTTCAGACAGTTTTGTGAGAACCATATGTTCCACTTTGAGGATTGTGGTAATTCTCAATTGTTCCTAATTGTTAAAACAGCTTAAGAGCAACTTGGCAAACATCACAGAAGTGTTCCTTTGTCATCAGTTAATGAGTGTTTTTCTCTCTCGGAACTCATGGCCAAACTGACTTAGAGCAAGTATGATAATCCACTGCGCCTCCTGTGGCTCTGCTAATCCATCACTGACACAAATACAGGTGCATAAAGATGCAAACTTATCAGCTTATGCAACAGCAGCAAAGCCAAGGTTTTATATACAGCCTGCAGAGACCGGATTCCCCCAGTGGAGATCATTACTGAGCAGGTGTGTGTTCTTGCGCCTGGCTGAGTGTGTCTTTAGACCCAGGGGAGAGCTGCTGGCACCACCACACTCAGCCAGGTGGAGAAAACTGACACAAAAAAGATCTACAGGAGGATCTACAGGAGGGAGAGTCTCAGTGGTGTTCTGTGGTCTCAACGGTAAAGCTCCAGAGTGAACAACAATGTTTTTTCGCATCCCTCGGCTGACTCCTGGATACATCAGATACCTCCAGGTTAGTAAGATGTTTCTGGATGGCATTTGTTTGATCGTTCATCTTAGACCTGACCTTGAAATTCCTCCAGAGCCACTTCTAGTTTGAATGTGGAAATATACAAAAAATACAAACTTTTGCTTCTTTTTTTGTGCACAAATCAAAGTTCAACTATTTAAGATTGAATCTGAGCAAGAAAACAACGTTCTTAAATTTATTTGAGATGTTGCAGGATTTGTGGTAAAGACTGGATTTAACTAGATTTGATTGGAAGTTGTCTTAGCTCCCTGGAGTCAAGTCAGTGCCCTCTAATTGGATCACCGGAGCAATAGATTTCAAAGGATATCCTGGTGGGTATTTCAGACACTTGCAGCTGGATTTACATAAAAATAAGAAACATCAGCTAATCATTTAGTAGATGCTCTAAAAGATGACACTGATGCTCTGCGTTGTCCTCAAAGCAGCTCTTAATCTCCTCATTTCTGTAAAACTATGTTTGCTCTCTAACTTCCCAATTTGGCAAATATGGAGTCTTTATTATGACTCATATTAAAACCTTTGTTGGGAAGTGTAATACTGTAGTGGGTCAAAGCCAGGCACTGTGGTGAAGATGACACCAGAGGTGTTGGTTATTCAGGCAGCTTGGGTGATGATAATGATGACCCCTGTCCTCTTTTCCAGACTCAAGCAGCCCAGACGATGCTGCAGAACCATGAGGGCTCTGCCATGCCACGCGTGGCCATCCTGCTGGGCCTCATGGGTGTCGCTATGTCTGGCTACAGCTCTCGTCAGCTCACGCTGCACCACGAGCCGTCAGGTCGCCTTTTCAAATAAAATAGCTGAAGTGTTGGGTTTTTTTTTAACTTGGGGAAATTTGCATATTCTGATGATGATTGTAACAGTTTTGCCAAGAGTTGTTTCAGTTATTTCAGGCACATGACACAATCCAACCAAATGCAGATTTTTTATTTAAAGCCTGCCATATTAATGAGTTTTTTTCAGTTTCCAACATGGAGCAGGAGTTGAATAAGAATACTTATTTTGGAAAAACCCATAATACTCACCGAATCTAAGGCTCTGTTGTATGTTTCCATTTATTTTCTCACTCTTAATTTTCCCCTCCATGTATTTCAGGTTCGACATCAACAACATTTCTCATTAATGACACATTTTATTCCATTTGATTTGATAAGATTGTTGCCTTAAAGGTTTGCTAGAGTATATATAAACAGAAAGATTTTAATTTTTTTATTTATGCACAAGGTGTGAATTTTTACTGAGATGCAGCTTAAAATATCTCTTTTGAAGTTGGATGATATTGCATTTGGAGCAGTTCCTGTCTCTCCCTTCACTGCAAAATAAAAAGAAACCTGATTTCTAAGAAAGCAAAAAAAAAAAAAAAAAAACATTTTATTGTACTTTTAGTCTAAAAAATTAATTCTGTAGAAAATTGGCATTACTTAAAATATGATAAATCACTAAATATTATCCAAATTTTCTTGTTTTGAGTAAAACAATTACCAATGGGGTAAGCAAAATTGCCTATAGAATAATTAAAACTATCAAATAAATCTAAATTTTGATTCTTTTGAGAATTCTTGCAAGCAACTTTTAATCAAAGCAAGAAAAATCAGATGATGTTTATCTTATTTGAAGAAATGTTGTTTCTAAACATTATTGTTATGATTATTTAGCTTTTTTTAGAAATCAGTTTTTACAGTGTTTTCCCTTTCCCGTGCCTTCTCATGAAACCACTTTTTCCAGATTTCCTGAATTAATCAATTAACTAAAAAATTCACTCTTGGATTTCATTCCTAAATAAGAGTTTTTGATTTGGTAAAGTCCCAAAAGACGGTCCAATTTAAAAGCTGCACAATGGAAAACTACTTCTCTGATAGAAATAAATCAAATAACTTTAAATGTAAACAATGCAACTTTTGCACATTTTCATGTAAATATCTTGTATGTATTCACGCACATGCTGCTTGCACGCGTATTGAGATTAGTGGTGTGAGACGTGGAATGCTCCCAGCTTGTGTTGTGGGCTGGACTGGGAGAGGTCCAGCTGGACTTACATGCAGCCCTGCTGTGTTGTTGTCAGGCAGAGGGACCAGGACAGCCACCCTGGAAACCACCTGGATCAACATGTCAGTTCACCCAGATCTCTCCCAGTTGTGTGCGCACACACACACACACACACACACACACACACACACACACACACACACACACACACACACACACACACACACACACACACACACACACACACACACACACACACACACACACACACACACACACACACACACACACACACACACACATCAGTAGATGAAGGACCTCTAAGGTCTCTTAATGTTAAATGTCATGCATCATGTTTTTTAACTGAAACAACCCTGACAGCGTGTGAATGTAAAAATTAAAAATTGCAGTTAAACTGTATTTGTCTCGTAACCTTGATGACTGAGGTGATCCCTTAAGATCCTCTTAAGAGTGACGCATATTGTTTTTATTTATTGTTGCAGGAGTAGTGTGTGTTAGTTGTTTATAAAATGTTGTGAATTTAAATGTTATTATTTGTAAATGTAACGCACATTTTCTCATGTTTTTGTTGTGTCGTTTGTTTGTTATTTTCAGCTCTAAATTCTCTAAATATTCATGTTTTTCTGATGTTTTTACTCTGCTTGTATTAATAAATCAGATAATATTAAGACAAGCTTGTGGCTTTTCTGAGTTTATTTTAATTTATTCAGCAGGAACTACTTTTTATTATATTTTAATAAAAATATGACAATAGCATTTTTGCCCACTAGATGACAGCATAGACTTTAAATCTGTTTTGGCCACAAAAGTTTGCAATCGTGGCATTTAAAGAAAAGCAAACACTGATGAATTTTTGTACAAAATAAAATAAAATCAACACAAAACAAACTTGGACAAATAATTTGTTTTTCTTTTCGTTTGCATCTCTAATTATGTATTAGCATCTTTTTTTTCCTCATAAGATCATTGGTTCTGTTTCTGCTAAGTGGTTTCTTGCAGATGCATCATGGCTCTCTGACCATCAGCTCCAGTGTTGCATGTGAGGTTAAGTGCCACCAACCCCATGTTGAAGGCTCAAGCAGAGTTCCGACCCGGTTACAGATGCACGCCGCTTTATAAAGCAGCATTAGCCACGTTTCCACTTGCAAGATGAATGCTGAGCTTTACGGGGAAAATGCACGGAAATATGTGGATTTCTAACACACACACACACACACACACACACACACACACACACACACACACACACACACACACACACACACACACACACACACACACACACACACACACACACACACACACACACACACACACACACACACACACACTGGTTATCAATGACCTTTTGTGTATAACGCACCTGTGGATCCAGATTTTTTTAAATCAGTTTCAGGAGTCCCAGACAGATGCTGCTTTTAAACTGTGATTCGTTCTCTTCATGTTCACAAATGCAAACTCACAAAAACAGAGGCTCTTTGTCCGTTTCAGCCTCCTCAGGAGGCTCTTGTTACTCCATGTCACAGGTAACAACAAAGAGCGGAATGTCTCATCCACCAATTTGTGTGTGTGTGTGTGTGTGTGTGTGTACCTTGTATGCCTCCTTTCTATTCAAAATGCAACATCAAGTGAAAAACAACAGTTCTTGCTTTGGATGATGTTGCAGTTTGAAAATGAACAGGATAAAGCCTTTCCCTCCCAGCAAAGGTCCCCCTCACTAGTGACACTGATGACATCAGGTAACATAGGTAGTACACCTCAGTCAAAGCACATTTGACCTGCAGCAGTTAATCTTCTCATGTGTCTCTTCTACTCTTTAGAGTCTAAGAGATTGGATTTCAGGATTCCTAACATCTGGGTGAAGGTTAGATATCTCTGAGCAAGAAATGCCAGTCAGCTCCGAGGCTGCTCTTGCACCACAGCACTTGACTTTTTGATCCACGTGTACTTTAGATGTTAGGTTATACTCGATGCCGACTTTTAGTGAACTGTTCCATTGACCAAAGTAAGAAAAAGGGGAGAAATATTTTTACATAATGTTATTTAATAGGATATTTAAACAGGAAAAATAAAACAATGTGGTATAAATATTCTTCCTGTTTTAATTTATGATAATGAACAGAATGATGTGTAACTTTTATTCAAACAACCTCACAGTTTTGAGAATTTTCAAATGTTGTCAGTTTTGTTTATGATCCACAAGAAAATTTCCTTGAATGAAGGAGCGATCGATCCTAAAGCTGTACAACCCCCACAACCTGACAAATATGGTTACAAAGATTTGTTTAGAGTAAGGCGAATATACATATAAATTTTTTTTAAATATAAAATATAAAAATGAAGAAATATAAAACAGAAAATGTATTTAAAGCTGCAGAACACAAAACATTTTAATGTTTATTTCTGATCATTCATGCAGGCTGAATGTGAAAATAGTCTCCTATACCCATCTCCTGCATAAAAAGATGTGAAATTCTAGGATTTGAAAAGCCTGACAGATCTACGTCAAGCGGCTGCTTACACTTGCCCATCTTGGCTCGTGACGGAGAAGGCTGTTGCTGTTTTAGCATTCAGGAAACAGTAGAAAACGTCTTGGCTAGCACAAGCTATCTGTTAGCATTAGCAACTCAACCACACTGCAGAAGCTCCTCCAGGCGTGTGTTATTTGTGGAGATAAAACATCCATGTCGCGAAGCAAGTGAAGATAGTGGTAGAGTAGTGTTGATGTTATCCAGCCAAAGGCAAGAGCTCTAAATATCAGGAAATAAGACTCCAAATCCTGCCGTGATGTGCTACTCTCTGCTGCAGCAGACTTGTCCATGCTGATCCAGTCGCTTCTGGGCTTTTTTTTGCTCCTGAATACGACTTGCAAGGCAATCATTTCTAGAAACCGCTGCAAATGTGTTGATTCCATTCAATTCAATTCAAGTTTATTTATAAAGCGCCAAAATCACGACAAGAGTCGTCTCAAGGTACTTCACATAATAAACATTCCAATTCAGGTCAGTTCATTAAGCCAATCAGAAATAATGTTTCCTATATAAGGAACCCAGCAAATTGCATCGAGTCACTGACTAGTGTCAGTGACTATACAGCAATCCTCATACTAAGCAAGCATGCAGCGACAGTGGAGAGGAAAACTCCCTTTTAACAGGAAGAAACCTCCAGAGGATCCTGGCTCAGTATAAGCAGCCATCCTCCACGACTCACTGGGGATTGAGAAGACAGAGCAGACACACACACACACACACACACACACACACACACACACACACACACACACACACACACACACACACACACACACACACAAAGCAATGTGTCCATGGTTACACCGTGATTGCTTAGTAAATATTCTATTTGGCGAGAAATAAACTTTATTGTATTTATTCTAGTGGATCTATAATTAAATGGATAAACTAGTAGTAGCACATCCAACGTCAAGGAAAGTAAAAAGTTATTATCAGGAGAGGGAGAATGTTTAAGTGGTTAGCAGCAGTGTGCTAGACGATGGCCCCCTCCAAGAGGCCACCACAGCTCAGCAGAACATCGTTGTAGCTTCTTCTGGGGAGAAAAACACTTAGAGAGAAAATAAAGTTAACAGCTGAAATAGCAGAAAATAATACAGTTAAAGAGCAGATTGTAGAAGAAAGTAGTAGAGTGTGAAAAGTGGTCAGTGTATCCTCCAGCAGTCTAAGCCTATAGCAGCATAACTACAGAGATAACTCTGGATAATCTATCCTATTTAGATGGAGGCATGTTGGAGGCAGGGCAAGGGAGAGCCGACTTTACCGACTGTACACTCCACCTCCCTCTACTCGTTGATTTAACGAGTGTTTTACACCTTTAATAATAAAAATCCAATATGGCAGCCGGATGATGTTATAATGTGCAAATTAGATGAGTGAATTTGCTCCCATCACAAACATCCACAGCGTTTTTAAATAATCCCCAAAAATGAATATTTAGTTGGAAAACTTGACACCTAAATATAAGTTTAGTGTTTTCCTTAAGATGTGAGAGGGTCACATTGGTTATCCACAGCTTCACCTACTTAATGTTCCATCCACTATTAGCTCATTAGAGCACTTTTTGTGAAGGGTCATTTCCATTTTCAACACCAACAGGTGTTTTATTGTTGTTTTTTTTTTTACATCTGTGACAGTTGCAACATTGAGAATGTGAATGTTATCTTGTGACTTTACTGACAGCGGAAATAGTGGCTCTCTGGGTGAGTGATCCTACCTGGTGGCTTGTCCTCAAACACAAAGGAGGAGGCGTGTATGCCAAGGCACATCTAGTCTATTTTAGGTCAGCTGAGCACGACTGATGAGGTGTGACAGAAAATCACCTCGCTGTGTGAACGACGCCTTCTTCTCAGACAATACTTCTGTGAAACGGCTTTTGTTGGATTCAGAGCTAAATACGTCCAGAGGACAATTTGTGCAAACGTCTCAGTGACCGATGAAAGAAAGAGCTCGGTTCAGTGCCTGAGTGTGTTAAAGAGCACGTATTTTCCAAGTTCTTTAGCTCAAGCAGCACTATTATTAGCCCCCAACAGCTCCCTGCTCTGATCTTTTGTCACTTTTCCAGAAAAGAGTTTAGTTTTTGTTTTCCCCTCCATCCAGAACAACGTGTCACCGGTAATTCCTTATCAGGAAAGCTGCCTGTGCCTTTGGAATTTGAGGCAAAACGATAAATAAGATAAGTTACTTTTGCTGCGTAGAACCAGAGTTCAACACGGCTATGAAGCAACAGATTATAAGAAAATAAAGTGAGTTGAAATAGGGATTGGTTGGCTTCTGATTTCAAAAAGGAATGAAAAAAATGTGTTATTTCTTTAAAATTACAGTGAAGTGCAGATCAGCATCTAAACGCAACATTTCACTCAGGACATCTAAAACGTTCTTTGGGTATAAATTTAAACTTTGCTTCTAAGTGAAAATTCATCAGACATAACTGATAGAAAGTCAAATTTAGAGCATCACTTTTTAGATACTAACTGTTAATTACGGCTTAGCAGAGCCTCCGAGGAACATCTTAAATTAAAGCTTTAATCTCCGTTCCTGGCTAACTGATGTGATGACCCGAGGATCTCGTCACACATTTGCTGCTGAGTCACGGTTAATCTCAGCGGGCTCCTTCCGTTTCATGCACGATGAAAAGGCAAAGAACAAACATGTGCAGAGTTAAACAACAGAGGTCCAGCATCACCTCTCAACTAGTTTTGAGCTTCAGAATTGAGTCACTTGTTTTTACCATTTTAGGCACTTTATGCAAACCAGTAAAAGTAAACATTTAGTGCTGGAGATACAGCGAGCCTTTGAGTATTTAGCTCTCTTCCTGTTCCAGAATTTTGTTTGCTCACCAAAGAACAATAAAAGGAAAAGCTCCTTTAAGGTAATTTTAGTGATAAATTTTATTACTTTACATTAAAAGAATTACTGAATAAACCAAAACATGGTGACATTCTGCAACAGATGTAATTTCATGTTCAAACTTTACCCCCAATAACTAAATACTTAAAATTGTGTTGCCTTATAACCGAATTTTCAGCTTAAGGTGTCAGATTGGAGTAAACTGCATTAATTGCCTTTTTTGTGGAGGAACTTTATTTGTCTCACCAAGATTTTCAAACAAATGCAGCTTTATAACAAAACTTCCTAATATTTCATACTAAGTATAAGTGACTTATTTATTGTTAGTCGCTTTTCTCTTCATAAAGGGTTAATGCTGCCAAGGCCAAATAACTTTGTCTGAGAAGTGCTTTAAGGCTCAGGTCAGCTGTTTAGGATGTGCTTTAATTCAGTTTGAGTCAAGCAGGCTGGATAATCCCAGCTGTGTTCCTCCTCGACGGTCTGACCTCGTCAGAGCTGACCCGCTGTCTCAAAGATCAGAACAGCTGACGTAACTTCAACATAAACACACGCTCGCTTCGGCTGCTGATTTAGCTGAACAGGTCAGATTCTTTAATTCACACATGTCAAAGTCAAGGCCCGCGGGCCGAATCCAGCCCACAAATGAATTATCTATGGCCCTCGGGATGATATTTGATTAGTATTAGAACCAGGCCCCCACAATGTGGGTGAAAAATTGGGCCCAACCCAGAAGTACCAAAAATTGCAGTTCCACCCTCATCCGCTGCATGGGGGCTGGTGTCAGAAGCGAGCAAATCCTCATTGACTCCCATGTTAAAAATACCAATTTCACAGTAGAAATAATTTTATTTTATATAGATTTATTCTATATTTTTTCATTTTACTATTTGAAGCAGTAATTGGTAGGATAATAGAGCAGCACAATAATGCATTTTCAGTTTATAATGCATGCAGTTTCACTTATGCATTTATCTTGATATAAGCAACTTATTTTGTTTTTGAAGGAAAATTGCTTTTTTGCTGTTTGCCTGTTGAAAATGCTTTCTCTTTAACTTACTGACAGAGCCATAAGAAAATATTACTTTATTCATTTAATGTACAGGACATGATTTTTCTTTGAAGGCAGTTTGTTCTTGTCTGTGTGCCTGCTGAAAAATGTTTTCCTGATTATTGATTTAATCATTAAATAATACACTGTGTTAGGCCTTGATTCAATAGGCTACGTGCAATCATTTCATGTTTTAATAAACATTGAACCAGTCCGGCCCTTGGCTTATAGCCAATTTGTTTTTTTTGGCCCTCTGTGTATTTGACTTTGACATCCCTGCTTTAATTGCTTCAGTGCTAAAAATGTGTATTTGGATAAATAAATATTGTTTCTTTTGTGGATTAATGCCAGATTAAACCCAGTCAACATAGATGAGCAGCATAAAGATGCTTGACTAATTATATCGTTAGATCTTGTAGCGCATTAATGAACCATTAAACCCACGTTTATTATAAAAAAGGATTCCATCAAGTTGAGATCCAAAGTTTATAAAACTGAGGGGTCAAACGTGGGAACATGTGAACAGGTGAAGTCAATAAATAAAATAAGAAGTCCTTGTATCAACGAGCCTGCATGGAAATAACCAGATGACAACAATGAGAAAAGAAAAACACAACAAACAAGAAACCGGATGATTAAAGAAAACCTGCTGACAGCTGAACCCAAATAAATGTACTGAGAAAATCACGTTTTTGAGTAAATGATGAGAAATAACAAAATATATGAGGAAAACGCTGAGGCAGGAGGTGGACCATCACTGTGTGCAAATATTCAAATAAAACAGGAAGTGGAAGACTTATATAGGTCATTTCAGTACGGTACAGTATGCAGGTATGTATTTTTGCTTTGGTAGAGCAGAATTATTATAATTTTGAAAATAGCATCACGTGTTTTCCCGGCACGTTCTGACACATCCAGCTTCCCTGCACGTTCCCAGCTGACCTACTGCTGCATAATGTGGATGTCGAAGCAGAACTTTCGGGATCTTGGAGTCAGGTGAGTGGTCTTAGCTGGACTGGAGGCTATTTCTAGGGCTCAGCCTCCAGCAGCATAATGTGCTATTTGTTTCCTCTGGCGTCAGTGGTTTTTCTCAGAGAGGGAAAGAGGGATTTTATTTTCAGATGAACACACACACACACACACACACACACACACACACACACACACACACACACACACACACACACACACACACACACACACACACACACACACACACACACACACACACACACACACACACACACACACACACTTTATACAACAAACAGAACTCTGTCTACAGTAAATATGTCCATCCTGGAATCCCACACAAACCCCCGACAGATAAACCGTGTTGCTCCTTTGACCTGTCACATCTCAGAACATTTATTTTCCTTTTAAAGCCTTGGAGGTAAAGTCAAAATAAGAAGACCTTTGACCAGAAACAGCACATCCAAAGGTCCCATTTTAAGGATAAAAACACTTTTCTGGATCTGCATTCATGTCAAAACAGAACAAAAGCTGAATATTTTTATCTGAAAGTGTGATCCTGAGTCTGTTTTGGTCACAGATGAGACCCTGTCCCTCTCCTGCCATGGCTACTCCAAAGACCCGGAGCTGGAGAAGAAGGTGGGGGCGCACAGGAGGAGGAGTTACTGGTTGGGGTTCAGGTGGTCCAGTTTGCGTAAAAACGCACGGAGCACAAGCCAAAGACTTATGAAACAGCACTCCGCGCCTTGCACCTCCATGAATGAGCTGTTTTCAGGGGAGGAAAAAGAGGAGGATTCAGGATTTACGGCCAGAAAAAGAGCTGAACGCGCTCCGGTGGTGCGGCGCAGCAGAGAGATCTATCCCGGTCCAAGACGCAGAGCGGGGCGAACTTCTTATGTTTGTAGTCAACTCAGGCAACGGTTTCTTCTAAAAAGTTAGAGGCAGCTTGTTTTCAGCAAGAAGTAGAGAAATGTTCAAGAAAACGAAGAGTAAAGTCCTTGTGGATTATGCGTCAGAGGAAGACGACATGTCTTGGCACTACCATCACTCCTACAAGGTAAAGGAACAAAAGCCTCGAGCGCACTGGAGTCTTTTAAATGCTGCAAGGGAAGGAAATTATAAAATACTCCAGTCGCATTTGATGATTTTAAGTTTAGAAATAATGAAATGAATAAATAACTTCACTCATAGATACATTTCAACGCGTAAAAGAGCTTAAAAAGTGAGTTTATGGAAAGCAGTAGGTTAATAAGTGGGTCAGGTGAAGAGAAAAGGCTGAAGAGTGAAAAGAAAATAGTTTTCTTCATTTTAGTGATAACTCAGTACACTTATACATACATATAAGGTCCAATCAGAGTTCATTTTTACACACGTGTGCATTTTTTATATTTTAAAGGTCAGAGTTTTGACTGTCAGGCATAAATGTCTCTTTGTTGTGTTTATCTTATTCCCGCATGTCCCAGATGAGCATCAGCAGAGTGTACGAGGTCTAAAAAAGTCTGCAGCTGGGCTCTGTCATGGTGTCACAGAGGGGGCATGAGGGAGAACACAAACTGTCATGCAGACATATAAAAAAATTAAGAGACATCTAGCAGTCCTGACTCACAAGACTATGACGTGACCATTTTGGGCCGCTGGTAAAGGTTGAACTAACTCAGCAACATCAGAATTGTCTGAGGAGCTCTCTTCCAGTCAGATCCTTAAATCCCCGTGGTTAGGGGCCAATTCCATTTCCCAGTTTCTGGCTATAAACCAGTGAAAGCTCACTGGACTGACTTTACTTCACAGCAATTGCCAAATAATCTGCAATCACCATGCTTGTGTCATCTAATCAAATGACTCATTTAAACTTTGAACTTAATTGAGGGTTTTAGGACATTTTTGAGGATTTATATCAAGCATCAGAAGAACAGAGAGAAATGTAAAAGTAAATAGAAAAGAAAAACATCTCTTGTGATAATGTTTAGATTTGTGACTAGATGGATTTTATTGGTTCCTGCTTCAGCTTCCGTCTTGGGAACCCCCCACGTGCCCCTCGGTCTGAGGACCTGCTCCGAGTTCTGTCTGGGAGGCTACCTGTACCTGTCACGGTTACTTTGTTGACAAGAACTGCTGTGAGATCAGACCAAGTAGCAACCCCACCTCCAGCGTCCTGGGAAACTCATCAGGGCGGTCTCCACAATTCACCATGGCTTTAAAGTATATCCAGGGATCAGGAGGTTGGGTGATAAAATGTCATAAACGGAGGAAAGAGGCTTGATTTAACCCAGCAGTCGTACAGGATGAAGCCAGGACCAAGGTTGTGATAACAGAGTCTGGAAATGCAGCTTTTTTCTTCTTCTTCTGCTTATTTAAATAATGTAGCTTGTTGCTTTTCATACTGAAACATGGATGCTACATTTTGTGTCTTTTAAGTCTTGATCACACAGAAATACTTGCTCAAATTTTCAGGATTAAACATGTCAGATTATATTTTTTACATAATTTGATATAATTTGATCAACTATAAAAACAATAAAAAAATCCATAGCTGACTGATTTTTATTAAAATTTAACACCTTAAAGACTGAAAAACCAAAACTAATGCGAACATGATCTGTGTTGGTGTTTTGAATTGGAACAGCTGTTTAAAATTTGACGCCTCATCGCCCACGACAGATTGATGATGTTACACTTCCTGTTTATGTCCTGCTAACACAAGGAAAACTCTAAATGTCATAAAAGGTCATTCGTGTAATTTATAGAATATAGGCTAGCTTTTAACCAAACAAAATATTAAAAAAAAAACAATTTCTGTTCCTCACCGGGTCTTTAAATGATCCACAAACAACCTCAGATAAACAGCTGCACATGACATAATTTACAATATCTTCATTTATTTAGGTCGTAATACAGAAACAGAGCTTAAAAAACTAAATATAACCATGTTTCTGTTGTTAGGACATAAAAGTAGCAACCAGCTGTTGCTTATCAATTCTACATGCTTTAATAATCCTCGGCAGCGGTGTGGATGGCAGAGGCTGACGTTTTAGTAGTGTGCTGCTGTGGAGCATGCAGGCGTGTGTTAACACAGGGATGAAGGAGGACACTGAATGAGCACTTGTTGCCCATCCAACTGGGAAAAGGTAGAGGTTCGCTTCCATTACAAATCCATCATTCTTGAAATTGCAAATGAAACCTTTGTGTTATAATTTAGTTTAAACTAGAAATATGGTCAGAAAGAGACAGAACAAGTATGTTTTTTTAAACGGTTGTCTGGGAATAACCTCTGTTCACTAAAAAAGTTTGCAAATTTGGACCTGAAAAACCACAACAACTGTGGAAGTATGTCCTTCGGACAGATAAGGCCGATGTAGAGGCGTTTACCCATAATGCACGTCACATTGTTTGGAGAAAACCAACCGTATCAGTGCAAATATCCCACTTTTATAAGCTCGGTGGTGGAGGGCTGATGATTTGGGCAGGGCCTCCAAAATGTGAATCCATTTGTTTGACGGCTAAAGCTTGGAACAAAATCTGTTACTTAAGATAGCAAACAGCAAATATAAATGATAAATGACCCGCACTTGTATAGCGCATCTGAGAGTAAGGACTCCAAAGCGATTTACACCACAGTGTATCATTCATCCATTCACACACACATTCACACACTGATACATCCCAAGGACTGGAAAAAAAAACATGTTCTAATGTTGCAGTCGAAGTCCAGGAGCTTTAAAATGCTCAGAATAAACAAAAAAACAGCTGATGTTATTAACATTGGTCCAAAACAGTTTTGTTTTTATGAATTATTAGTTATCCCCCCTCTGATGGACTTAGTTTGCTCCCTTTCATTTGTGTCAGCAGGCCCAGTGGGTACCTGAGACACGTGCTACATTGGATGCAAGGATGTAGAAAAATCGAATATATTAAAGGATCAAACAGAAAAAAGTGTAAATGAATGAACTCTGTAAAAAGATTCCCGGATATTGTTTTGAACAGACGTTTAACAGCTCATCATACCAAAATCCGTCATCTTAAAATCAGCTTCCATTTGTGTTTTTAACTTTTTAAGGTTGTAATTTTCTAAATGTTTCTTATTTTATACTTTACATTTTCTTCCGATGGAGACTTAAAGGGATGTTTTCCTTTTGGGAATATTTAAAATCAGCGAATTTCCTAAAACACCCTTGTGCTGTAGCGCTGTGAGACATTCCTGAGCTCCTGAGAGAATGTGAAATGTTGTGTTTGAGGACTTTGAGCGATCGATGAAGTGAACGATGTGTCTGTGACATCAAAAAACAAACACAGCAACATAAAACATTAAAAAAGGGGGAACATGTCTTGTTTCCCCTGATGAGTGAAACAAGAGCTCCTCTAATCTTTCATCAGGACACTTCCCCCCTTTCTAAAGTTAGAATGATTTTATGCTTCAGTCGGTGTGTCTTTGATCTGCTTATGCGGCTAAATCCTGGCAGACTTTGCTCAGACTTGTCCAGCCATCATATTCCCTTCTCTTTCCCATGGAGCTGTTGGATGTTGGAGGAGCTTTGATCCCAAAGAAGGAATTCTGGCTCGATTTCAGGAGAGTCGAGGCTGAACATCTGACGCTTTCTAATTTCTCTCCTTTGACGGTTTCAATTTTGCTCAAAAATCTTTGGGCTAGTCTAAATAAAATGCTTTCATGTGTTCATGACAAATGTCAGAAGGCTTCTTTTTATGTAAATTTGGGAGAAAATTGTCTATTTATTAGGGAAAGATTCAGTGCTGTCGGTAACAAATTAGGTAAAAAATAAGGTTCCATGAGTGACAAATTTGTACCAGATTGTTCCTTATTTAGGCGTAATAATAATTTTTTTTAATTCATAAAAACACTTGACATCATTTTATAATGACTGAGATTGAACCTCCCCCGAGAATGCATCATTATCTTCTTCGTATGTGTTTTTCTGTGTCTTAATGAAAGCAACAGACTGCTCCAGTGATTTCATGTTATGTGGATTTTTGATCATTTATGAACATTCATCAGATTTCACCTGGTGCAAACATTGTTTCTTCATTGATTAGATTTGCGTTCGTCTTTTTAACATCTTAATCTAACAGCTGAAATGTCTCCTCGGCCTTCATTGGTGTCTACAGGAGCGACTCGTCTCTAAATCAAACAAATCAGCTGTGTTTGCATCTAAAACATGCAGGAATCATGCGCATGGAAGCAGATTGAAGCGCCAGCACATGTCAGCGCCACTTTACTAGGACTAACAGGGAGCAGCCCGGTACTCTGAAGTTACAAGTGCGGTTTTCTGGCCACAGAGGGCAGTGGGGTCTGAGCGACATTTCATTAATCTTGTAAAGGGCCATTTTAGCACATACTGGGTCAAGAAAATTATTTAAAAATATGAAAAATTTGCACAATGTGCCTTTAATGTAGTAAAAATCAGCTTTGTATGGAGGTCCATTCAGGCTAGCTGTTAGCTCATCGATCTCATCAGACTGAAACTCAGGAATGAAGCTATCGACCACATGCAAAATAAGAATGATGTATTTTATTACAGATTATTTGTTCAAGATACACAGTGATTTTATACTGCGTATGCTACCTGTTTTATAATAGGTAGCAGTCTGTCATTCACACACACACACACACACACACACACACACACACACACACACACACACACACACACACACACACACACACACACACACACACACACACACACACACACACACACACACACACACACACACACACACACACACACTTTTCCATCTATCCATCCATTTTTACAACACTTTAAACTTGAAACACTTTTCTCTGCTGTGGTTCAGAGTTTCTATTTGTGTTACCCCCCTGATATTGTGTGTGTGTGTGTGTGTGTGTGTGTGTGTGTGTGTGTGTGTGTGTGTGTCTCAGGACAAAGACATGGGGGAGGAAGAGGAGGAGGAAGCCGGCACTGCAACATCAAAAGTAATCAGCTGCTTCACAGTTTTATTATCTGCTTCCAAACACACAGAACAATTTCACTTTAAAGATATGTCCTAATCATTCACATTAGTATCCTTAGACATGTGACCACACCCACAATATCACTAATTATCACTGAAAGACAGAAACCAACAGTGTGCATGTCCTTTAAACGACATCAGTACAGTTTCTACTGAGCACAGAGTGCAGCTGATGTAAAGCTGGAGGTCCATAGGGCTGCTGAGACTGCAGTGTTTATCTGTAAACACACCAGCTATCACTCTTTTTAATCCTCAAGCTTATCTTTGAAGAACTGCCCAGTTTCTTGTTGTGGTGCATATTTGTACTGTTATTTTTACCCTGTGACAGACCACACCAGACAAATGAGGTCATGGGGATCATTTAATTGACTTTTTGACCCACTTCTGCTGTTTTTAATGCTTCATTTTTGATGGCGATTGTTCTTAATCCAACTTCAGACTGTTTGAATATATAGAGGGGAAATTATTGGACTACTTTACAACATCCTGAGACCTGAATTTGTATTTGGTGTGATTTAAAAGAAAAAATGTGAACAAAATAAATAAAAAAATACTTTTTTGACAAACTTCCAAAAGAAAAAAGAAAGAAACAAAATAAAAAAAAATTTAAGCTTAAAGATTTAAGGAGAATAAAATATATTAGTTAAAAAGCTGAAAATGATTTAAATATTTGTCGGTAAGTCACAGAAACAACCACACACACACACACACACACACACACACACACACACACACGCACGCACGCACGCACTCACACACACACACACTTCTGATCCCTAATTATCTGTGTTTGTACTTTATCTCGCTGCTCATCAAATTAAAACAAGCTGAAGTGAATCAAAAGCACAAGTCCAAACATACATCAAGTTGAAAGAGTTGAACCACATCAGTTTTCAGACCAGATTATTAAGGTAACACCTGGCTGTGAGGTAATCGGAGCTGACATGTCTACATGCAGGTTGAAAACCGTGCTGAAGGGAACATTTGTTAAAGACATTTGTAGTTGATGAAAGGTTTGTATTTTAATCTGTGCGTGACGTTTTTTGCCTACTTTGAGCTGATTTGTTGGTGTGTCGTTTACATGAGCAGGTGATTTTCTTTCATCACTCTGTTCATAAAAGATGTGTCATCTCCTAATCTGTGCTGACAGCCACGCAGAGCTGTGGACTGGCCTTGTGTCGGCTCTGAACTCTCACCTGTAGTGAAAAGACGTGTTTGAGGAGCATGTTTCCCCCCATGCATCCTGTTTGTGGGTGATGGGATGGAATGGTTGGGCCGGAAAAGGGAAGGAAATGCAGCATTCTTTTAAGGAGCTGTGCTTTTTAGCCTGAAACAATCACCGCAGAGTAAAAACAAGGCTGAAAATATCCACCACCGGCTCCTCGGACACATAGAAAAACTCAAAAACATCATTGTTTTATGCTCATATTAGGACAGAGGAGGTGCATTTCATGGGCTGAATTTCTTTAACACATTTATTTGTGCTTTTGTGCACTCATGTGTCCCAAATGTCAAAGAAGTTTTTAAATGTTGCAACTTTTAATACTGATCCTAATATGGACATGAACATTTTTACAAGATGCGCCTACACTCTCTCATTTGCTGTGTGAGATGCATTGTTAGAAGAATTTAGTAGAATAAAAGTCCTGTTGTTCTGTGAGGCACGGAGCTGGAGGTAATGATCCCCTCACACAGCGAGCCAAACGGCTGTTTGGTTTAGCTTTTTGGGATTACTGATCACTGAGCAGCTTTGGATCTGCAGAGAGCAGTGAATAAACCCTTCTATACATGTAAGTGCACACACACACACACACACACACACACACACACACACACACACACACGCACGCACGCACGCACGCACGCACGCACGCACACACACACAGACACAGACACAGACACAGACACACACACACACACACACACACACACACACACACACACAGACACAGACACAGACACAGACACACACACACACACACACACACACACACACACACACACACACACACACACACACACACGCATGCATGCACAAAGCTAGATTTTATCACACAAAGGCAGAAAGGTTCCCCTTTGCTTTATTTTACCTCAAACTACTGCAAAGCCTCTTGCTTTTGACACAAGTCCAAAGTTCTAAAATAGCTTAGATTACGATTTTTAAATATTTACTTGGTGATAAACTTTTTCAAACTCCTGCAGCTGGTCTGCCCACAGGCATGTCGGTTCCAGAACAGGTGAGAGGAGGAAATTTATCATGGTTATCAACAAATGATGATGGCTGTTGACTGGTTGGACAGAAAAAAATTCTGCAGAAGGTCTTCATGTTTGGTTTGGGAGATGCATGATTTCATATCCAACTTCCAATCAAGAAAACAGGTCTTTGTCACTTACTCCACTCTGACATCACCTCCTCAAGTTAAAAACACAGGAACACAAGAAGCTCCTGTAAGAAAAAAAGGACATGTGGGTTAAACCGTTAAACCCAACCATCAAATAATATGTTGTGTACCAAGCTCAGAGCAAAGTAAAGGCACACACGGATGTGAGGAGGGGAGGAGGAAGATGAGGAAGAGGAGGAGGTGGAGCAAAGGGCGAGACCTTGGCAGCTGAGATTGGGAGTTCTTTTCTGGTGAGAAATGGAGCCAAAACGTTGCCTTCTTATCGCTGATAAGACACATATCAGCACTCAGTAGAAGGCTGTGAAGGAAGGGAGGAAATTTGATGTGAAGGGAGTCCCAGGAGTTTCAGAGGGAGCACTGGAATGTGCTCAAGAGCCAGGTAGACAAAAAAAACTGAAAATTTGACAATTGTCAGACCAAACAAAAGGTTTCTTTTCTAAATTTCCATAAAAGTCTCATAGAGGTAACAAACAGTGGCGTGTCCAGATCTTTTAAAATGGGGTGGCCCAGGTGAGGTCCAACTTTGTGCATGGGTGGCACCAATGGTTAGGCTTTCTTGTTTTACCCCCAAGCCTTTTGTGGACAATGAAAAAGCCTATTTAAAGATAAATTAGTGTGGTGGCACCTGGGGTGGCCAATCAGATTCCAAGGGTGGCATGTGCTACCCCAGGCCACACCCTGGACACGCCCCTGATAATAAACAGTGTAACATCCTCAGATCTTTTTGTTTTGCTTTTTCTTCTTGTCAGGAGGCCAAGGTGAAGAAAATCATGTCCAAAAAGGAGAGGAGGGAGAAGAAGATGTTCTCCTCTAAGGATGATGAACACTTGCTGTTGTCAGGAGGAGTGAAGCTGGCCGATCGCAAAGGGTGAGATGGCACACATAACCACTTTATCATCACTGGCTCGGAATGGGAGTAATTTCTGGCAAGAACGGGAACCAAGGCCATTTACACATGTAGCCGGGTTGTCGTAAAGCCGAGTGTTCCCCGCCCATCTAGGAAAAAAATCTTGGGTTCGTTTTCAAAAATCAAGCGCTTTGTGAAGCACATTCATAGGCACGTCAAGCCTGTAGGTGGCAGTAGTTCTTCAGCATCTTTGTCATAAAATATTAGCCTGGCAAGCCATCCAATATATGTGATGATATAGTCTGGGGTGGGATTTACGGTTGTATTTTAAACCATCTGCATGCTTTTGGATAACAAACAATGTGACGTACTCACCCCTACGGCTGTCACTCAGCGAGGCAGTCCACCATACTCCATCAAAGAAGATGCAAATACATCCTTTTTCTACATAAACTTAAGTACACCTGTCTGCTCTTGAGTCAAAGAAAAGCACAAGTCAAAATAATCCAAAGTTGAAGCCAAAGCTGTTTCAAATGAGCCGTCGCCATCTTTGTTTTTTCAGCAACATCCCGCCCACCAATAGAGTTCTGTGATTGGACCGCTACAAATGTCAGTCAATGATGCAGTCCACCATACACGTGGAAGAAGCAGGGAAAAAGATGAAAATACATTTTTTTTCTAAATTGGCCAGCCACAATACTGTCCGGCGCTTCAGAGGTGCCAATGGAGCATCGCTAGACCGACATGCAAAGCTAAATTATTTTTGCTTCGGCAAATGACGGTCCAGATTCTAGGCGAGTAAAACATTGCTTGGTCGTGAAACAACTACATGACCGGAAACTCGTCATTTGCAACAAATTTATTTAAATCAGGGTTACTAAACTAGCAAACAACTAGCAAAACTGCAGAAAGATTGAAAGAAGTTAGAAGCTGTTTATTTTTCAAATTCATCATCAGTACTTAAGCTGGATTAAGTGAAGGTATTGGTAAATGTGCAGCATGGCACACCAGTCAAGAGCATTTTCAGGCCAATATATCAACTCTTTGTTGCCAATGCTGGTTAAGTGTTTGAATAAAAACATTTACACACTTGACTAGAAAAACAGTCACACCCGTCACTAGTATTTGTTTATGTGGAATCCTGGGCTTCATTTGCCAGCAGCTATCTTCTACCTGCTCAGGAAGTGGAATATGTATGGAGAGGAAAACCTCCGTTAATCACGTTGCTCTGACAAACAAAAGGGAACTCCTCCAGAGCAGCCCCAGTCTCCTGTGTTGAGACGTCTGATAAACAATGGTTCCCGAGCCACTCAGTCCTATTTATGGTTACGGTATCCGAGCTCCACATAGTTCTCTACAACGGACCCTCCTAATGCAGAGTTTTCTGCTCTTTGTGTTTCTCCAAAGGCCTCAAAAGAAAGCCAAGGAAGGTGAGAAGGAGAAGAAGGACAAACCAGACAAGGGCTACTGTTTCTGGGACAGCGTTACCATGACAATGAGACAAATCTCACCTGCTAAAAAGTTAGAGAAGATGGAAGGCTGGGAGCCGCCCCAGTTAGGGAACCTAACTGAGACAGTAAACGAGGAACCCTCCATGGAGAACAGCCAGAAAGGGGAGCTAGCGGTGTCACTACCCAACTCTAGCATTCCAGTGGATTTACCGTCATGGGGCGGTCGAGGTTTCGAGGAGGACTCCTCTCGTTACGCCAACCTGACGGATTCCAACGAATCAGCAGCTGCGGTGAGATGGACGTCTCGTGCCAAGGTCAAGTTGGCTGGCATCAGCAGGATAAGCAGAGGGATTGTGTCTGAGAGTTCGTGGGGGGGCTTTAAATAGTTGCATTCTACCTACCTCTGTTCCGGACCCCTCCACGTTCTGAGAGGGTGGAGCTAAGTTCTGCCTGTTTTTATAGTCTAGCTCTGGACCAGACCCATGTCAAAGTGTAGTTCTCCACAATCTGACAGGAAGTGCCTTAAAGTGCTACACCAGAGACAACCACTAGGTGCTCATTCGAAACATTACTTTTTGTTTTTAGTTTAACATGAATGTAGAAACAAAAAGAAGCTGAAGCACCCCCTTGTGGCCGGCTGCAGTAAAAGTTAGAAGCCCCACCCACTTTATGAAAAAAAAAGTATTTTTCTTTTAATATCTGATGCTTGAAAATACCATGACACACATGCACTAAACAATAAAATGAAGGGGAACTGGTAAAGGCGATATTTCGACTTCTCTTTTTTGTTGTTCAACTTTTCCTCTTATTGATTCCCGTTAGAAATAAAATGCAAACTTATTAATTGCTATTTCCCCCTAGAACATATGCCATTCATACTCAGAATCCCTCTTTCTGATCAGTATGAAAGCCACTGGCTAAGATGATTTTAAAATATCAAAACTGAGGCTGCTGACACCTTTTTATACACAATCAGTAACACATTAAGTTTGTTCTTAGAGTCGAAGGAAACGGTTTGTGACAGTAGGAATGAGTCACACACTGTAAAACATCTTATTTTTAAATTATTTTGAATGAAAATAATGTAATTGCTGTTTGAAATAATATGCAAGCTTGCTACTGAAGGTGTATTTAGCTAGTTTTCACTTCATTTTCATCTGTAAAGATGCAGCACAAGACTCAGGAATATAACCTGAAACAAAACAATTGCCCCCTGGCTGCAGTATGCATTCTAACCCCTGCCTCCTCCATGTAAACGACATTTTCTGTATTCAAAAATAAAAGTAAACCTCTCTTATTTTCTTTTTCCAGATCTGAACTTTTGTTTTAATTCTCACCCTGCTGCTGTATGTTCAACTATTGATTTTTCTAATATGTTTAGGTGTTTTTAGTTATTTAATGCTTAAAAACACATTATTGTGCACAAAAGAATAGGCTGGACTCCACATCCTGAAACTTGGCAGGATCTATTAATATATATATATATATATATATATATATATATATATATATATATATATATTAAATATTATGGCTTCACTAAACAAAATTTTAAATCAGATTTCTTTAAAGTTTCTGATAGCTATTATTTTTTGTTATTTGAGCTAATAAGCATTTTTTAAATAAAATGCTTTAAAACAAAACAAATAGATGCCTAATTTTAAGCAAATACTTATTTAATAAAACAAATATGATCGATATGGGCCTTCGTAGCACATCCTTGAAAGGATTAGAATTGTAATAGGGTATTTTCAAGGTAACTTAAATTGGTTGTACAATCACACTTATGAGGCAAGAAAGTCAATTATGAGCCTGATGCACGTGTAAATCACTGCCAATGTAAGGTACCTTGAAATTCCTTTTAAAAGTGCTTGAATTTGATTTCGGCAAGGTCTAAACTATCCTAAAATGTAGTTCCTCTACCTGTGAAATGCCGTGGCTCAATAAAAGAGCCACCTGTTTGCTGTAAACGTCGGCTAGACCACATCGCCCTTAGCGGATCTGCTGATGTCATCACGACGCGGCTGCACAAACCAGTTCCACTCCTGAGACTGTTTTAAAGAACCTTACACGTACATTTCTTCTATGTATATTTGAGTTTGTAAAGAGAGTGATTTTATTTCTCCAATGAGGTGTATGTTTCTCATTAGGTCAAATGGAAACTTCTCTCATTTCTTTTTGCCGAGTTCATTAGCGATGTCTGTCTCCTGTGTTGATTCATTGAAAGTGCTGGGTCACAACTCCTCAAGAATAAAGCTTTAGTCCGACAAATCTCTTTTTCTTCTTATTTTGAATTAAAAACTATTTTCTGGATAAAAATCTGATTATTCCTCAAGAAAAATTGTGAAAGCTGCATTGAAAATCAAGTTTCTAAACAGAATGTAAACACAGATGATTTGGACTTCCTGGATACAGATCTTTTGTCCCAGGTTTATTTTTTTGTATAAACACATTAAAACCCTAATCCAGCGGTCAAAACAAGTAGACAAATCCACAGAGCAATAATCAAAACAAGATCACTTTTAGAGGTATTTATTTTGCAGCTAGTTTATGCCCAATACAATTCATCGTAGTACCACCAGGAAAAGTAACAGTAAAGGGATATTACGAAAATTGGAAGAGGGCTACAAAATCTTTTCAGATTCCTGTCAGTCTGCAAGTAAAAAAAAAAAAAGTAGAGCAGACAGCTTTACATCGAAGTTTAGTTGACTCTTTAGACGTAAACAGCACAACAGGAACTAACAAAGGACAACACACGGATTGTAAACGGAGTGACAAACAGCTGCAGTTGCTGCAGTAAAATGCCACCATGATCAGGTACATTAACAAACTCCATCTTTTAATAATATTTCTCTTCTTTTAACAAATTACATCCCACCAATTATCACCCATCTATTACAAACATGCTAAAACATGTCATATACTTATAAAATAATATTATTTACATATCTTTCCCTCTCTTGGAAGTTTTTTTTCTCTGTCTTGTGTGGAAGAAAACACAATCCTGTTATATTCCCTGTGTGTTCAAAATGAGCAGAAAAGCTCTCTCTTCATGAAAATATTTAGATGTGTGCATTTTAAAGTAAAGGCATTTTAAAAAATGCCTTTTGTTCAATTAAAGCCCTTTATATTTGAGTAAACGACATCTGCACACAGGCTTGATGTGGGATTTAAGGTAAACTTTGCCTCTGGAGCGTCACGAAGGGTTTAAAATTTGAAGAGGTCAATGAAGTGCTGAGGAGAAATGGGCATCAGGCAGCTGTCTGGATCGTTGGCTGTGCACGGGTGGCCGAAGTCCTGGGAGGAGAGGAAGCCAGAGAGGAGTTAGAAAAGAAACAAACATCAGCTGGAGTAGAAAGGATTTGACACAATTGTACTTGACAAATGTTAACAGAAGCAATGAGAGTGTTAAGCTAATTCCTAAAATAGTCCTTAATGCTCAGATGGTTGATGGGTGAAAAGAAACTGGCCCAAAATAGTAAAAGAGGTTTTTATTTTCTGTAAATAAACAGTAACATGAGATAGATGCTCTGTAAACAGTGAAAATTAGAGTGCATCTTGCCAGAAAAATATCATTTAAAGGTGTGGTTTAGTCATTTATTCAACACATTTGCAGTGTTCTCTAGTGTAAATGAATGCCTTAGGAGTCATTTAAAAAAATGAAAAAAGTCATGATGCTCCTGTTCTGAGAGCCAGAAGTTTGCTGGTGCAGAGGTGGGATTTGCACCCACCTCACTTCTGATTGGTTTCGGCCGATTGGCTCCGCCATGTTGCAAAGTCACTATCAGCAGGACACTACGCTCGCTCTCCTCGCTGCAAAAGAAATTTTAAACAGCCGTCCTGTCGGCGAGCGCTACCCAAGATGGGCGAGGCCATGAAAGCAAATTCACAGCGTGACGTAGATTTGCGAGGATTTTCAAATCCTAGAGCTTCACCGTCTATTTTCAATCAGAACCTAACGCAGGAGGTAGGTGTAGGAGACGACTTTCATGTTCAGCTTGCATGAAAAACTCAGAGTGACTGATTATAATCAGAAATAATAATAATAATAATAATAATAATAATAATAATAATAATGTTTTTTCAGTCAACCACACCTTTAACATTTAAAAACAGGTTATAAAAACAAACAGCCTTTATATATCTTAATAATTACTAAAAATTTCTCTCACTTATGTTTACGAGCTTTCTGTCTTTATGCTTAGGTATATACTATACTATACTATACTATAGTATAAAACTACTCAGTATTTTTGCAAAATATTTTTGTGTCTTCTGCTGCAAATGTGTAAGAACGGCAGTGAACGTTACAGTCACTGCAGCAAAACCTTTTCGTCTGTTATTAATCCAACTTGACTTGAAACACAAAATAACAGTGATTCAGTTGAATATAACACTTATTTATAACTGACCAGTTTGTACTAATCCAGTATTCTGGTACTAAATGGAAACCTGGTGATTCTAAACTCTCACAAACGTATGAATGCATATTTATGTTGGATAAAGAGACAGATGAGTTTTTTTGTTGACATGGATCTAACAGAAACAAGCTGAATCGTGAAGATTAAAATGTCAACAGAAAGAATGTCACTATTTACTAAACACAAAACAAGACGACATCCAGCTAAACTTGAGAGCGGCGCACGACCGAGCTCGACACACAGACCAACAGGGAACACTAAGAGGAGGAGAAAGGCATGATGGGACACAAGGTACCTTGAATAATAAAGCCACATGGCGGTCCTTAAGAAGTCGGCGAGAAGGGGAAGGAGGAAATGGAGGCAGGAAGGAAGGGAAAGCAAGGGAAAGGATGCAGAGAAGAAGTTAAATCACAAAAGGGACCCAGCCAGGAGGACAAACGGTGTAAATTTTGGACTTCAAGAAGGAACGGGTAGTTCAGGAACAAGTTTTACTCAATGTACAGTCCATGTCCGTACATACTACATACTAAACCAAAAGTTACAAAGATATTATCTTACGCCTGATTAAACAAACACGCCACCAAGGACAAATAAGTGAGACTAGAACCACTTGTGGGTAACAAGGACTAGCATACCTACGGTGTTCTTGTTTAAGTGAAACACGTCATTTCCACTTTTGACCTTTTGAACCCAGAGATCTACTTTCAGACTTTTACTGGAAACGCAAACAATAATAAAGATTGTGTTTCTTCAGCATCAGAAATGCAAAATGTTCGGGTACAACGTTGATAAAAGAGCTGATAGGTGTTACGGGTCAGAGAACAACATAAAAGACTGAAAGGGAGAACCTTCTGAAGAGAGGTGGACTGAAAAACTTACACAGCTGTAATTCACACCAACCTGTGTGCGTTTCTAAAGCTCTGTGTTGCACTGAAAGGCATCTGACAATAGGAAATGGAGGGAATCACGTCTAAACTACTGAAACTTACATAGATTAAAGAAAAATGTTTAAACTGATCATTTTTTTGACTTCAGACTATCTTATTGAGGGTCCCCAAAAGGACTTTGTCTGATGCTTGTGACATCATTTCAGCAGATGTTGGAAAAAAAAAGTGCAAGGGAAATGTAAATTTTATTATTATTTACCTTCCAGAAGAGGATGCTACAGTGCTTGCAGAAGTGCAGTGTGTCACCGTACTGCTCCTTCATGGGGTAATGTTTCTGCAGGGTGAAGTACACCAGCTTCCAGTCCACATTGTCATGGTTTGCTAAAACCAAGTTCCTGCATAACTGTTCATGTGAAGCGCGTGCACACACACACACACACACAGAGAGAGAGAAAGAAGACAGGGTTATAATCAAAACTGGGGCATGATGTAATTATAAACTCATAATTAACTCTACTCTCAAGAGGGTGTTCATGTGTAAGCATGTGTGGGAGAAAACAAAAGCTGTGTGTAAAATGTGGCGAGTCTGCCCTCTAGTGGTAATTATGAGTGTCTTTCTTTGATAAGCGTACCACAACTCCCAATAAAAAGCAAATGGAACAAATCCCAGCTCTCACCGGCTTGTCTGAGAAATGGAAGTAGCAGAGTTTCTTCCACAGCGTCCTGTTCTCGCTGAGGATGTGCAGTGTGGGTGTGGCCTGTCCCAGGTTAATGATGTCACAAGCATCAGATAACTTGCAGAGGATCTTGCTCTGCATGTGCAGCGGCAAGTCGTTGAACGTCATGCCCGTGCACATTTGCTGAGGAAACAATGATAAAAAATATACATAAGTAGAGCCCTCGGCGTTCAGGTAAACAACGCATTCATACACTAGTCTGCTCTTTACCTTAGGGATCTGCATGTTGCTGAGCTCCTGCTGCCACTTAACAATAGTCTCCAAGCGGCACAGCCAGATGTTCACGTTGCCCACGAGGACACATCTGCCAAACTGGACAGTCAGACTATGAAGCGTGGAGCTCAGGTCCTGCAGAAGCTCTTTGACAAGACGAGGATTGTAGTGGTCCTCTAGGACTAAAACAAACAAGAGCGCAGCTCAACCAAACATAAGACTTCTAGAGGAACGTTTATGCTGAAAAAACCATTGGTGTAAATCTGTGTTTCGCAAATTTTCAAGGACATAAACTCTACTTCTCTGCACAAAAGCTTTCCAGGAAGCTATTTACAGAGGTAACCATAATAATTATTTATAATTTTACCTCAAAACAAGTCAAACGTTAGGCTTTCTTACCCTTTCGCACAATCTTCTCCAGAATATTGAAATAGTTTTTCTGAGCAGCTCCGCTCAAAGACGTCAGCTGAGACCTGGCTATCAGCTGAAAAAGCTATCAGAGAAGTAGAGATCCAGAGAGCGATGAGAAAACGGTACCGGCACGTGGAACATCACCCAACAAACGTGTTTGATCACCGCTGTTCACCTTTGCAACGTAATTGAATCTTCTCAAGTCTTGAATGGCGCTGGAAAAGTCTAGCCGGTTAAGCGCTTCTCCAAGCGTGCAGTAGCCGTGTCGCTGTTGGCACACGAAAAATCAGACATGCACTTTGTGTAAAAATAATTAAACGGTACAAAATACAAAAGGCATTCAATACTCACTTCCTTTGTGCTCCCTTTCTGCACGTAGATCCATTTATCAGTGAAAACAACTAAAGAAAAGAAAAGGTGAGGTTTGTTAAGCTGTGAGGTTTCCAGCTCAGAAGCTAGACGCTGTTTTGGGCTTTAGCGTTGACACAATTGTTGTGTTTTCATGTTTTCACACATGGATGTCGCGATACTACACTGTAGAGTCATCAGTGAACACAAACAGAAATTAGGCGTAGCTTAGGGCTGCTCGATTATGGCAAAAATGGTAATCAGGATTATTGCGACTGAAATTGAGATCTCGATTATTTAAGACGATTTTTCAATGAATGTTGATTTTATTTGTTTGTTTATTTATTCAGTCATAAAATTGCTCAGAGCACAATCAGAGCAAAAAGAAAAAAGAAGACGAAAGCAACAAAATAATGACAAAAACAACTCCTGACTCCTAGTATAAAAAGGCCAACACACTTGCTCATAGTTTATGACCCAAAGGGCTGACTCATTTAAGCCCAACCAATACAGACCCAAATATCCAACCAACATCTTGCAAATACTGAATTATACAGTGGCATTCATAACATAAATAAAAAACATATAAACATATGTGTTTTAGTGACGGTCACAAAATGTTGCATAATATTTATTTAGTCCTGTCAAGCGGTGCTGTATGAGTGTGTACAATAGCAATGCGTCCTCAGAGAGATTAATTCATATTTATCAGTGTGAGAAACTTATTTCTATTTCTAAACTATTTATTTACAGGTCCCATCAGTTAATGTAATGATTGTCCCAGCCACAACCCCCCTCCCCCACCCCCAACCCAGTCTCACAGCAATCAAGGGCAAGCCGCGCGTGTGTGTTTAGCGCACCACACGTGCACATGATGCCGTTTTTAGCAGCTCAGGAGCCTGCAGGTACGGGGTGTGTCACGGACTCCGGTTAATCCAAGAGGAAGCCGGCTCTGAGAGAGTTATTTATTTTTTTTGCGACCAACACATCACTACATCTTTCCCTTTCCTAATGTCCGGAAAGACGGCCTGGAGCGCAGGCGGAGTGTTTAGCTAACCTGCAGGAATTGTCGACGACAGTTTTCCAGAAAGTAGCTAAGGGTTACCAGAGATGTTTCTACATTGTCCGCTAGGTACTTTTACAATTAAAAAAGTCAAGAAGGGGGTCTGAAAAGATGTTAGAAATAGCAACTAATTTGCTAAGTTGGCAACAATGTGGGAGGAGCGCTTGACTTGCAACTTGGAGCGGCGCAAGAGGGAGGAGAAAATAATCGGCTCGTTTTGTTTTTGTAAACGTTCCAAACTCCGATCGTAATTGGGATTAAAATTCGATTAAGTGAGCAGCCCTAGAAGCTGAAACTCACACTGGGACCTGGTGTTGTTGTTGTACAAGTCCTTTTTCCTCTTGGTGTTGGCGAGCTCACGCACCTCTCCGACAAACAGGTTTTCATTGTTGTCGCTGCAGAACCTGTTCACACACAGAAAACGTTTGTATTCAAATCATTTAATAAAGCAGAGACACTTTTAGGCAACAGCTGGAGCTTCCAAATTTCAAAGTTACAACAAACTGGAACAAAACAGAACATAAAGGCTCAAACTCCAGCTGCTTTACTGGTTTACGTCGTCATATACTGGAGCTAAAAGCAACCCTGAGTTGAATCATAAAGCACCGCCATGAAGGAAACGTTCCTGATGGCAGACAGGCACTGGAGTCTGATAGACAGAATCATGGATATGACTCAGACATGTTGTCAAACAGAAACCTGAAATGGCTTTTAGTCCCCCCCCCCCAGTCAGGTTTCATATGAAGCTTCATCTTCCACAAAACCAAGAGAAGTCATCTAAAAACTCCTCTTAGTAAAATGACTTCAAGCATTTTAACTAACTCCCGCAACAAATGGGAAAGTTTATCAAAACTATACATCAAATCAACACATTTCACTGCTGACAGATGAGTGAACCTTGAAAGTAAATCAGAAACACAAAGCTCATATTTATGAGGCTCTCCAGTGCTTTTAGATAATGCGTGACAGTGATATGCTGACACTTGTACAATCTGATCTGGACTCCCACTAAGATACACTTAGCAACTGTTGCATTAAGTCATTTGTCTTTCTGAGTGAGCTTTTCTTTGCAGAGCAGCCAGCTGGAAGAGTGATGTTGATCTTGTTTGCCTCTCTGTAGCTCCTGACACGCTCACGCGGAGCAGTGAGCTAACGCCGTTGGCCGATTCACACAAAGGACGATACTGTAAATGGAGTAGAGATATCACCAGCTGCAGCTGCAGCGAGGGCCTAATAAATCAACATTTCTGGTGTTTGTAAGCATCACAATAGGAAAGCAGTGTGTTGCTGGCTTGTTGTATGCATCGAAATGTAACCGTTTAACTCTCCTTGATGACCAGAAAAGCAGACTGAAAACTTTCAGTTAGCTAAACAGGTTTGTTTGGTCCAGCTTGTCCAAACGTGGTAATTAAACTGCAATCAACACGAACAGGATGCTTTGCAGGTGAAATTTGAATGAAAACATGTCATCCAGATATAACAAGCTGATTTGTTAGCGCTAACGATGGGAAAATATTACTGCAGCAGGATACATATTGGTTTTCATGGAAAATGTACCCTTGAGTCGCAAATGCCAGCTTCATCTGTTGCCATGACGACTTACTTACTTTATGGCCTTAAACTCCAACTGAGGGATTCAGATCACCTGAGTAAACTTTGTTTGCGTTGGTGCTGTAAAGAACTGACTGAATGACTGGCTGTCTATTTCTTATGAAAGCCGTTCCAGCTTTGTTACAGACCACAGGAACACTTCACATCACTTGATCTTCATTATCTTCAGGATCACTTGCAGCCAGGCATAAACAAATACAGAATGATGGATCTATGACACCTATAACAGCAGAAAAACAGCTAACTAGCAAGAATCAAGAAGCTTAAACAGCCAGAAAGATTTGAGATACTGGCTGATCTTTAACTATTAATTTCCTGTCAGCTTTCCAGTGTGTTTACTTTAATAACGAGGGGGAAAAAATCTATAAACACTTCTAGATTATTTAAATGAAAGATGGACAGTTTATTACAACAAACTCATCACTTGTGATACTTGGCAATCATTCAGTTGCAGTAAGTTTATTTTCAGAGTTGTAAGGCAACAAAAATCTGAGCTGTTGTGTTGTTTTTTAATAAAAGGGTATGAGAATGTGTTGCTGTTTAAATCTAACGATATCTGTAAATAACTTTTCCTTATGTCAATAATGGCTCAACGTTCAACGACTAAAAAGAGACATAAAGGAAACCATTTTACCTGCTGAGATTTAGATAAATAATTTCTTCCTTTTGAAATCTAAAAGCACAAGTGAGGCTGCACGTTAATAAACGAGAGCATTAATACATTTCAAAATTAATATTAGTAATATAAATATGGTCATATTTTGAAATAATCGGAGACCTAATATAAGGTTTGATTTTCCCGATACAAAGGTAAATGCAGAAATCTACCAAATGCATTTTTTTTTCTTTTTCAAATGGGTTGGATTGAAGCTTAAGTTTGTGTGATAGTACCTAAAATAAACGAGGTGAATCTTAGTATTCATACTAAATATACATATGGCTCAAAAGCTGAGTTTTTAACCATAAGTCACCATAATGAAACAATACTCACGTGTGTAAAAATCAGATAAATATATATTTTAAAATAACAATTGAATTTTTTTTCTAATGTACTTTATGGTCATGTCACCAGTAGGACAGTAACAAGACAGGATGCACGTGGTGAACTGATGTTCCATGTAAATATGTATTTAGGAGACAAATACATGTCTTAAACTCCAAACACACCAAGTGACCACCCTGTACAGAGAACATGATGTATGTATAAAAACCTCAGAGCAGACAATTTAGCATTATCTAATTTAGATAAATAAGACATGCAGTCTGTGAAAAAGACCAACAATTCATGGTCTTACTCTTTCAGCTTTATCTCCTTGTTGTCCTCCAGCTCGTGTCCAAAGAACACAAGCCTCTCCCAGCCATGCTCTGTCTTTGTCCAACTCCACCCAGGCGACCTCCAGTCTTTGCCTAAGAAAGGCATTTTAACCTGGGGGAGAGAGAGCTGCAGTCCCTTCAAACACCTGAAGGACTGAACAGAAACTGGGTTTAAATGTACTTTCTGGATACAGAAGTAACTCATATGAACACTTTGACAGATTACTACTGAAGAGGTGTTCTATAAAATATAAAAATAAAATACATTGTTTATTTAAGTTTTCAAATATGATACTCAAAGATGGATGAACAAAAGGCACAGACTGAAATTTACTACTCAGTTGTGAATTCATGACTTTATGAAGCACAATCAGTTAATTGTCACCTCAAATTAAATTCATATATTCATTTATTTCACAAAAAAAAAATGGTTCAATTGAGTTCTGAGACATGAGTTTTCTAAAGCCCCACTTATGGCAAACAAATAGCTCTTATGAGTAAATACAGCAAAATATAAATACACCTGTTTTCGAGAGGTAACTTTAACAGCTGTAAACATTATTGTTTTTAAATGGACCCTTTTCCCCCTCCATGCCAGTATCTTTTATCCCTATAATTCGTAAACAAATGGCCACTAGAGATGTAAACCTAATTCGTTTAGACATATCGTCGTATTTATTCTGCAAAATGAGGCTTTGAATAAAAGTGTTAAAACATCTGTGACGCATTTCTCTTGCGTTGAGCAGCAGCAAACGATGCCAAGGATAAAAAACAAGACAAACCATCTGTCATTTGGCTTCACGCGCCTAATCAGCACCTTAACTTGATAAAGAACCCAAGGCACTCAAGTGTTCAGATGGGAATTCCTTTAAAGCCAAATTAAAACGAATATAAACAAACCTGAACGGTCGACCACGGCTCCTTTGTTGCCCGTTTCTCTTTGGAGCCCTGCTGGAGAGGTATTGACGGAAGTAAATACAGAAGAAACGGTTCACGCCCCCTGCTGCTCTCTGATTGGACGACACTTGTTGCTACGCAGAGTCGCGTTTCCGATTGGCCGCTTTTGACTGTCGTTCATTTTTTTTCATTAAAAAAGCCCGACAAAAAATATTGTGGCAGGACTGCGCACATGTAGTAGTGTTTTTATTCTAAAGATGGGGGGATGGGAGGAGCTGAGTGAGTGTTTTAAGATTAAAACACAATTTATTCTGGTTTTGAAATTAAGATTAATGCATGTACTTTTAAAAAGTGAACCCCAGAAAGGAAGAATAGTATTTACTTTGGCGAAGACTAACATGGATCCTTAAATACATAAACAAGCACACTTCAAACTGTAGGATCATATTTAACATATGACAAGGCCTGTACACACAGACAAAATAGCTATTTATCTACTTTGTCTTTATTTCCTGTAGGTTTTATTAAAATTTTGTAACATTTTTTGTTGTATTGTGTGGTAACATCAAACATTTATACTCACCGCTCTCTCTTGGATACAGGAGGAGCATGACATATTTACCTTAGGGTTGAGCAGAAGACAATTAAACTTTCTGTAATTTTTTTTCCGATCATCTTTAAAAAAATATGAAAGTCTCCTTTCAGACTGTTTTATGAGAGTTTCTTCTAGCTTGGCAGGCCTATTACCTTTAAATGGGCATCTTTGATTTAACACAATTAGCAGAAATCCTGTTTGTTGATGGATTGTGCCCCCTAAGGCTCCACTGGCTCAATTAAACCTTCAAGCTGCACTCCATTTATGATCAAATGTAATAAAACAACAAAATAAACACATTTTAAAAATTAGATCTTCTTTTATAGTTTAAACATCATTGTAAACAGGGTTGGCCCAAGCATTTGTGGGGCCGTAAGCAAGTTTTCCTTTGGGGCCCCCATACCAACCAGTCAACACCAGATCATTGATAATTCTTAGGCATCACTATGAGTTTAACAATATCATTAGCATCTTTTGTAAATAGCTTAAATCTTACTGGTTTTATAATGGCTATTAACCTTACATTAGTTGCGCTAATTAATTTAGCATTTTAAAATGCAGAGTGTTGTTTAAGTGTGGTATAATAATTCAACAATTTATGTCTTGTTTTAAGTCTTTTAACTTTTAAGTCTTGTCTTAAGTTTTGTTCTTAAATTTGGAACAAATGCATCAAATGTGCAATCAGAAAAAATAAAACCAATTACACTATAGAAAATAGTCTGTCATTCATCTTCCATGTGTGATATAATTGTGTTTGCAAAATTTAAAGCTATTAAAACATGTTTTTCACGTTATTTTTATGCACTTGGGGACCCCCTGGTGGTGCGGGGGCCCAAAGCAGTCGCTTAAATCACGAATGCCTTGGGCCAGCCCTGGTTTGTAAATACAAGAAGGGTATAAATCAGAAATTAAAACTTGTTTGTGTCACTAAAGAAGTTTTGCAGTGAAATTATAAAATCAGATCTGTGATTCTTCTTATTCCAACTAGAATATCTAAATTCTTGCAAGAAAGCACGTGGAGAAGGCAGGATGTGACTCGCTGGATGATAAACAATGAACGGTTCATGGAAATGGGAGGAATTTGTTCAGATGTTGAGTAATTTGTACTACTGATGCTTATCATGCATTAGCTTTTCAACAAAGCAGCAGAATGGGTGGTAACTGTTAGGAAAAACTGGGTCAACCACAGTTCTATTGCCTTTGTTCCCCTCTTGATGTTACAGCTTCTGAGAGTTAAACAATCAGCAAAAGAAACTTGGCAAGAAAACAAAAAGAAGTGTTGAGGAGACAAGGCCGGAGTAGATTTGATCATACAGTTTCAGTGGGTCAGTGGAGATAAGACCATCAGGTTATTAGGCACATTCTTCTCACACACATCTTAGGGACCAGATGACAGTTTGGCTGGAGAAATGGCCGCTTCTTTTATGGTTTTTAGCTCGTTCAGACATGAATGAGTAGTTTTATTACTCATTAGTCATTTGGCCACAAAAACAAAAGAAAGGAGGTGACACGTCTCACAGAAAGACACTTTTTAATATCAATGTCTATGATGGAGAGCATACCTTTCACCTGGAGAAAATGAAGGACCACTCTCGTCAGATTAACTTAAAAGGCTTTCAGGATGAACTTTAATTTGGGACTCTTTCATGCTTGTGGTAGTCTGAAAGTTCAGCATGGAACAGAATTTATGGAGATAATCCATGACTGTGTCTGGCATGAGCTCAGACCTTTTTATCTCATCCGCTTATTCTTTTTTTAATAAAAGTAAAGCACATGGTGGAAAAAACACAATACGTGATAGTGATGATTTGAAAACTTGCTAAAGTACACTACAAAAACTAATTTCTGAGAAAGTAAAAAAAAGCTTCATTATTAGTATTATTTGGACCATTTTTAAGAATATTTACCTTATTTTTAAGGTTGAATATGAAACAATTTAATAAAAAGCTAAATAAAAAATACCTCTATGGGGACTTTAGAGGTGTATTTAGAGAATGAAGGTACAGTATTTCCTTTAAAGGCTACATTTTAATTAAAAACAAATCAAATATTTATTTTGACAGGCACCACTCTGGGGTTCTGTTTAGATCTACTAGCCAACAGAGGGAACCATTGTGGGTTGCCAAACAATCTGCTCGGCACAGCGAGGCTGGCTCTGTGGAAAACGGAGGAAGCTGCAAGTCAAGCAGCTGCTTCTGAGCCCAGGAGATGTCGTTACCCTTCTCAGAAGAGGAGCGACCATAAAAGATCTAAAACCAGAGTGAGTTTAGGCAAAGCCTACAACAGATGAACCCAAATAAAAATGGCCACGGCTTCAAAACGCATGCGGGAATGGTGAATTTCATGGATGGGAAAGCTGCGTTTGCAACTGCAGCTGCCATGTCGCTTTGGTGTTCGTGTTCCATATTCAAACTTTAAGTAATGCTATCTTTTTTGGGAAGAATTTGTTTTCTTTTTAGATTAAAAACAACATAAAATGATTAAAAATTAGATTATTTTCTTTCTTTCTTAGAAATCAGTTTTTGCAGTGTAATTTTCAAGGTCCTTTTAAGATGTCTTTCTGTGCAAAATGTTACTTGTTGTAGATAAAGTCCTTGCTGACAAGTAGTCAAAAAACAACTTGTCCTTTAGAAGTGATAGGCTAATGGCTAATCTGAGTTAAGGCCAACATTTTCTGCTGCTTGCTGAAAACATCATCAGCCTCTAAATTTCATATTAGTTTGCACAATATCTTTTTACAAGCATTAACATTTTTACATAACATTGTTATTTACCCTAATTTCCTTGCTGATGGACAAGTGTACATATCTCATCCAGCAGCTAAAAGAATCAAGTCTGGCTGGAATTTCTTGTTATCACTGCTGAAAAATCTGTATAATGCAAGATTGATAACCATGCAAAGGCTCATAAATTAGCATTTGCATGTACATCTGAAATGTAGGAGTTTAGAGCTGCTTTGGTCATGTCTGATGTTAGCTCATCCGTCTTGAAAGACAGTCATGTCCCCAAAAAGAGGCTGTTCAGGAAGTTATGAATGGGTAAAATAATAATTAAGTTGTGCAGAAACACACTCACATTAAAAAGATAAATTCTGTTTTAAATGAAAAAAAATCATGTTGAGCACACAGAGAACCATTCTTCTAATAAATACTGGAAATTTATGACAAACAGCATAAAACCCCATCTGTGTTTAGTTTGGTAAAAAGTAATGTTCATAAACTGTCAAATGCAGTTGCAAATGTATTATTCAGAACAATATATTTAACTATATGGTTTAAAAGTGTTTTATCTGTATTTTCTGATACACTGTAATAGTTTTACACATGAGAAATAGAAAAATAGGCCAACTTTTTTTGGTATCTGCAACGGATTAGTTGCATTTCATTATAAATCATATGACTTCTGTCAAACAGTTAACATTTCAAAATATTCACATATGCATTTTGATCAGATTTAGTGCTCAAATGCATTTTGACTTTTTAATATTTGCAATAAATAAAATCCTCAATTGAATAACAGTCCATGATGACTAATATTAATAAGACAACATTTTGAAACGTGTGGTTTGTAAACAGTTTTTTCAACTCCAATGTGACAGAGAAATACCAGCGGAGGTTTTAGCAACAGAAGCACTAATTCCATGTTTGTTTAGAAATTTTCCACAAGTTGGTTCACAGGTGGGTTTTTGGTAACAAACTTCCTCCATCTAATGCCCAAATAACCAACTCTTAGCTTATAGCTGAGAAATGTTGAGGTTTACATCAGTACTGCTGCTGCAGGATGTAGCAAGCATTCAGTTGAGGTCTCGTAGCTTCTTTCCTGTCTCTGTTGCGTTCTTGCAGCTGTACAACCATTTAATTATACGTGCGTTTCTCTCAATAACCGATGTGCCTTGTTGTTTTTTCTTAAGCAGCTCATCCTGAAGCAGCCCGTCGCTGTCGCCGCTGTCCTTGGAGAAATTGTCATCTGAAGTGGAGATGCTGACGCTTCGAATGTTGATGGAGATCTCGTCCGAGCGTGCCGAAAAGTTTTCCCTTCCCAGAGACTCGACGACCTCGCCATCCAGGCCGCAGTATTTGAAAAACACGTCAAAGTCAGCAAAGCTTTTGGAGTACCTGGAGCTGATGTCAGAGTGGGAACGACCGATTTTCGCGCCTGACCTCTCAGTGTCAGGAACTGCAAGGAGACCTCCAGCTGTCCCAGAATTGCTGCATTTGTCGCTGGACTCCTCTAAAACTCCATTCGACCTTTCCTCCGGCTGATTGATTACTACACGGGAGCCACATTCCTTAGCCGTTTCCTCAGGTGTGATCATTTTTTTCCTGTTGCTTTCAGACTCACATTCCTTTTCCAAGGATTCAGGTAACGGGACACCTTTATTCACAGAAATGAGTTGCAGCCGACGACTCACAAGGCGTTTCCGATCATTTTCGGCCCCTTGGAGTAAGTCACATTTCTGTCTGTAAAGTTGGAGAGAATCTCGTCGTTTTTTGGAGCTGGATCGATCCACTTTACCTCCCAAGCAGACTTGTGCAACACCTGTATTCTCGGATGAGTTGCTTCCTGAGAGGGGGGTCCCAACATGGTTGTGGTTAGAAGACTCAGCGCCACTCACAGAAGCTGAACTGATCGCCGGCTCTTGGGTTGAGCTGACCACTTGCTGACTTTTGACATATTTGGGCTTGCTTGCAGCGAGTCTCTCCACAGCACTCACCCGTCCTTTTGGTTCACTCTCCCGTTCCATTTGCTTTCGAAGGTACTCAGGACCCTTCCCAAGGATTCTGGTGGCACCACTGTTGGTCTCCATTGTAGTTTAAATTAAAAGTCCAAAGCCGTTATTCCCAAAAAGTTCAGTAATCCCTTCAGTGTATGTTCCAGAGTCAGCTGAAGGATTCCATTCAAGCCCACTCTTTGCCTGAACACGAATCCCAACAGGAGACTTTACCTTGTCTACTTAAAGACAGAACACTTCACCCCACCCATCCTGTGCAAGGCTGGTTTTAACCAAACACGGGCCTGTTCAAAGTACACCTGATTCACCACAAGTGTGAGAACAATGAAAGCTGAAACTACTGCAGGAACCCCCCTTCTTCAAGAGAAAATGCAATCAGGAAAAACCAGTTTGGGACTAAACTAAGTTCCTCTTTTTAATTCTAATTTTTCCATTTATTAGAAAGATTTACTAATTATCATCATGAAAAAATGTTGTAAAGAACTTATTCAAAATGCATGTCACGTGTCATCTAGGAATAGCTGGGTTTCATAATCAAAGTCTTATCAGAACATTATGCAACACGAGGAACTAAAAATGGTGTTTTTTGTGTGTAAAAAAGTTACTGATTTCAGATTTCTTGTCTGAGATTTCGGTAAATGATTAAACCCATTTTGCTGTCTCCAGGTCAAATTTGAGAAAGTTTTCAAGAGATTGTTGATCAAGACCTCAAAGTTCGGAGATTCTTGCATATGAGACCAAAGCGGAGTAAAGTGCACATGAAAAAGGTAAATTTTACTGTCAGACTTCCTGCATCAAAGATTCAGGACCTTAAAGTTTAAAGAACACTTGACAGGCCATATTATTAGTTTACTGTACAACACTTGATTCTTTCAGTACATCACTCACCTGTTTGTCAATGAGACTTACCAGTTTTTATCTGATATTTTGCTTTTTAATGAGCCAAGCAGTACTTTTTTGCCTCTAGCTTGTTAGAACAGAACATTTCCTCCAATATTTCCTCATTTATATATAAACTCTTGTAGCAAGAGGAAAAACAAAAAATTGGAAAACTAAATTTTAAACGGCTTCAGTGTCAGAGTTTTCAGCTTGTGGAGTTTTGACTTTTTTAATGAATAACATCAAGCATCTTATGCTATATCTGAAGAATCCATTGGATCTGTCAGCATTCAGAATACAGGTCCTTCTAAAAAAATTAGCATATTGTGATAAAGATCATTATTTTCTGTAATGTACTGATACACATTAGACTTTCATATATATTAGATTCATTACACACAACTGAAGTAGTTCAAGCCTTTTATTGTTTCTAATATTGATGATTTTGGCATTCAGCTCATGAAAACCCAAAATTCCTATCTAAAAAAAATTGCATTATCATGAAAAGGTTCTCTGATCGAGCTATTAACCTAATCATCTGAATCAACTAATTAACTCTAAACACGTGCAAAAGATTCCTGAGGCTTTTAAAAACTCCCAGCCTGGTTCATTACTCAAAACCGCAATCATGGGTTAGACTGCCGACCTGACTGCTGTCCAGAAGGCCATCATTGACACCCTCAAGCAAGAGGGTAAGACACAGAAAGACATTTCTGAATGAATAGGCTGTTCCCAGAGTTCAAGGCACATCAGTGGGAGGTCTGTGGGAAGGAAAAAGTGTGGCAGAAAATGCTGCACAACGTGAAGAGGTGACCGGACCCTGAGGAAGATTGTAGAGAAGGACTGATTCCAGACCTTGGGGGACCTGCGGAAGCAGCGGACTGAGACTGGAGTAGAAACATCCAGAGCCACCGTGTACAGGCGTGTGCAGGAAATGGGCTATAGCTGCCGCATTCCCCAGGTCAAGCCACTTTTGAACCGGAAACAGCGGCAGAAGCGCCTGACCTGGGCTACAGAGAAGCAGCACTGGACTGTTGTTCAGTGGTCCAAAGTACTTTTTTCGGATGAAAGCAAATTTTGCATGTCATTCGGAAATCAAGGTGCCAGAGTCTGGAGTGTAATGAATTAGATTACGTGTTATTTAATGAGCCATAAGGCGTGGGATTCCATAGGAAATATGAAATCCACCTTACGGATCTGTGAGTTATTTGCACCAGAAGATTGGATCTTTTTATTGCAGGGATTAGATAACAGCTTCATATTCACTCAGAGACAACAGAAGAGAGAGAGAGAGTCAAGTTTAAAAGTTAAGAATTTTATTACTAATAAATTAAACTAGACTGACTTTAAACACTAAATGTATGGTGTAACTAAAGTGGATGAGACGGTGAGTGGATGACGTGTGATGTAAAATCAGAACCAGCAAATCCGAAGAAGCGATTGGTTCTGACGGGAACTGAAGGTGTTGTCTTCACTGTAATGATGTGCATTGTTGTTTGGCTTGGTTGGTTTCGCAGTGTGTTGTGTTGCTGCACGGGCGTTTTTAGAGTACGCACCGTTATAGGATGCCGGCAGAGATTGTATGTTGGTGAAGTCTTGTTAATAAACCTTACTACCCCGTTGGGTAGGAAATAGATATTCTGGAGTTTGTCGTGAATGAGACCAGAATATAACATGGTGGCAGCGGAGTGAGCAGCACGGCCGGAGTGGACCCCGGGGAGACGTCTGACGAAGCGGTGAGCTATTGGCGGCTAAGTGAGTTAGCACCGCTGCGAGCCATGGAGGGCCTTAAAGCACCGCCGACGCTGCTGTTGGACTCCAGTAACCTATCGCGGACATGGAAGACCTGGAGGGACGAGTTTATGCTCTATGTGGAGCTGACCATGGACCCAGACGACGAACAGAAAAAAGTGAGCCTTTTCTGTTATCTTGTTGGGGTGAGCGGCAGGGAGCTGCTAGACACGCTAATGGGCGACACGGCGAGGGATCAGTGGACGGTTGAGGACATCGTCGAGAAGTTTGATAATCATTGCAACCCGGCCGTTAATGAAACTGTGGAGCGGTATCGATTCTTCACGAGAAACCAAGGCACCAGTGAGACAATCGACACCTATGTGACGGAGTTACGGCTGCTGGCGAGAACGTGCAATTTTGGTGTAATAAGAGACTCATTGCTTCGGGACAGGATTGTATGTGGCCTTAACAACCCGAGTTTGAGGGAGAGACTGCTGCGGGAGAAAAACTTGACACTGGATGCATGCATACAACTCTGCAGAGCCGCGGAGCTGTCGCGGGAAAACAGCAAAACCATTTCGGGAGCTACAGTGGAGGAGGTGCATGCTGTGCGTGTAGCTGCGCGCCAGACACAGTTCAGTGACGCAGTGGACTGTAAGTTTTGTGGCAGAACACATGAAAGGAAGAAGGAAAAATGTCCAGCATACAGGAAGAATTGTAAAAAGTGTGGCAGAGAAAACCACTTTGCAGTTAAATGCACAGCACGTGCAGAGCAGACAAGAAGGTCGAATGTACACAACGTGACAGCATGTGAGAGTGATGAGTGTGAAGACGTTCTCTGTGTTACAGAGGCAGACACGCACGATTCAACTACAAAAAACACTGATAAAGTGAGAGACACCCGACTCTTTGCAGGCATGTTGATGGGCAAAGAGATGGTAAATTTCCAGATCGACTGTGGGGCCAGTTGTAATGTAATGCCAATCCACATGCTAAGCCCGAACACACAGTTGGAGGACTCACAGACAGTGCTGATGATGTACAACAGAAGTAAGATAAAGCCATTGGGAAAGTGCAAAGTTAAGTTACGTAACCCGAGAAATCAGAAACTGTATCGGTTGGAGTTCCAAGTGGTTGACAAAGACTGTAAAGTACCACTGCTGGGCAAGAGAGCCAGCGAAGCAATGAAACTCATAAAGGTGCACTATGAAAACATCCTGAAACTGGACAGCATCGTTACTTCAGAACCCCCTACAGCCAAGGAGTGGGACATAGATCAGATTAAGGCGGAATATGCAGATGTTTTCACAGGAGATGGCTGTTTGGAGGGAGAGTTACGGCTCGAAGTGGATGAGGCGGTGAAACCAGTACAGTTACCAAAACGGCGTGTCCCTATTGCACTGATAAAGCTGTTAAAAAAGGAGCTTCAAGATCTTCAGCGCAGAGGGATCATTACACCGGGTGAATGCAGCACTGACTGGATAAGTGGGATGGTTGTGGTCCAAAAGCAGAGCGGGGATTTAAGGGTGTGCATAGATCCAAAACCCTTAAACAAAGCCCTACAACGGAGCCACTTCCCATTGCCCACCATTGAGGACATTTTGCCGGATCTGTCAAAGGCTAAAGTGTTCTCTGTCTGCGACGTGAAGAGTGGATTCTGGCACGTGAAACTGGAGGAGGAGTCGAGCTAGCTGACAACATTTTCGACTCCGTTTGGACGCTACAGATGGCTGAGGATGCCAATGGGGATAAGTCCAGCTCCGGAAGTGTTTCAGAGAAAGCTCACACAAGCTTTGGATGGTCTGGCAGGGATCTACATCATTGCAGATGATGTGCTGATCACGGGTCAAGGAGACACGGAAGCAGAAGCAGTGCAGGACCATGACGAGAAGCTGCAACAGTTTTTGTCCCGTTGCAGGCAGAAAAACATTAAGTTGAACGCAGACAAGTTCAAACTTAAACAGAAGGAGACTACGTACATTGGACATCAGCTGACATGCAACGGTCTGAAAATAGACACAGAGAAGGTTAGGGCTATAGAGCAGATGCCCAGGCCGACAGATGTGAAGGCAGTGCAGAGACTGTTAGGGATGGTGAACTACTTAGCAAAGTTTTGCCCACATCTGTCTGATCACTGTGACTTACTGAGACGACTGACACACAAAGACAGTGAGTGGAATTGGACGACTCGTCATGATGATGCTTTCCAGAGACTGAAAGAGACTATAGCAGTGGCTCCAGTCCTGAAATACTACTGCCCAGAGGAAGAGCTGACAGTACAGTGTGACGCTTCTGACAAAGGATTAGGTGCAGCACTCATGCAGAAGGGTAAGCCTGTGGCTTTTGCGAGTAGAGCTCTTATACGTACAGAGCAAGGTTATGCCCGGATAGAGAAGGAGCTTTTGGCTGTTGTTTTCAGTTTGGAGAAGTTTCACCAGTACACTTATGGTTGTAAAGTGGTTATACACAGTGATCACAAACCTTTGGAGACCATTGTAAGGAAACCGCTGTTGAGTGCACCCAAACGGTTGCAAAGGATGCTTATGCGCATTCAGAAATATGACTTAGATGTGGTGTATGTGCCAGGCAAAGACATGCTATTAGCTGACACGTTGAGTAGGGCATATCTTCCAGAGTGCGCACCTCAGGGCTCCATAGAGGAGGAAATAGAGAGCATTAACATGGTCACTCATGCACCCATCTCACCAGACAGATTAAACAGCATAAGGATTGCTACACAGGAGGACAAAGCACTACAAACCCTCATAGACACAATTCACAGAGGGTGGCCAACTGACAAAAGAGACATGGACGGTGACATCAGACCGTACTTCTCGTTCCAGGATGAACTGAGTAGTCAGGATGGACTTGTCTTTAGGGGTGAACGTGTTGTTGTCCCGACTGTCATGAGACAGCAGATCATAGCCAGACTGCACTCGACACACCTAGGTGTAGAAGGTTGCCTACGGAGAGCCAGAGAGTGTGTGTATTGGCCAGGCATGAATGAACAAATTAAGACGTATGTGACTAAGTGTGACATCTGCAGGTCAGTAGATTACAGACAACAGAAAGAGACTTTGGTTCCTCACGAGATCCCGACGAGACCATGGGCTAAGGTGGCCTCAGACCTGTTCATGTTTAACTAGGACTACCTTATCACAGTGGACTACTATTCAAACTTCTGGGAAATCGACTATCTCCCGGACACTAAGTCCACCACAGTGATTAGGAAGTTGAAGGCCCACTTTGCCAGACAGGGCATCCCAGACCTTGTTGTCTCAGATAATGGACCACAGTATACGTCCGGTGAGTTTCTGAGATTTAGTCGAC